AAATAATGCACGGACGGACATATGAGGTCTTCTCCACCAGTACCATATAAACATTACCGTTTACCCCACCCCCTCCAAAAATCAATAAATAAATAAACAAATATACTTGAGCTACTATGACAATGAATTTCATTTAGTGATGTATTGGGAGAGTTGATTGGTTTAATAGAAGAATCTGGCTAACATTGCTTTTCGCATAAATGATCAATACGGTTCTTTTGACAGCGTTAGATAAACGCTTAGAATGCTTATACGGATTCTTTTCGAGTTCCGTTCTCCCCCTATATTTTACATTTATTCTCAATTGATGGAGATCAAATATTGTTAAGACTTTTTAGTGTGTCCAAACATTAGAACTTAAACAACGATTTTATCTCGTTTCATGATGTCTCTATATAACTTCGTGTGCAAAGTATTCAAGATCAATCATTATATATATTCTACCGTGTAGTCTATCTCTTAACGTTTTATGTTGCTCGTTTTTGTTTGGTTTTAATTCACACCGACACAACACAGTGAAGGTCGTATATACCGATAAAGGATCACCTTAGGTGCCATTTTGTGCTTTATTTCAGGCACGAGCAACACCCGAGTAGAACAACCTACCTGCCATAACCTAGCTAGATAAATTCCTGACAAGAAATAATCCAAAGTCCCTGATAGGATCCAAACTCACAGCAGTGAGAAGCAAGTGATTTGAAATATATGCTTTAACCACTCGGTCACGAGCCAACACCTTTACGTATCACGATTGAGACAACACAGTACAATTAAAATTGAACATACTTTCAAATCTTTTCATATGCATGTAAATTATATGTAAGTGTACACCTTTGCATAAACCAGTCAAACTATAGCGTTTTGTGCTATATAAGTAAACATGAAGCTGAGTACATTACAAATCGATATATAACTAAAAGTAAACATTTCTTAATTCCATCATTGAATGATTAAATTGTAGTTTGTAAATTGTAGAAAACATTTGCGACTTTAAATTCGAGGATAGAATTGCTGGCATGGCGAAATTATTTTATCTGGTACCGGAAAATACACTTACTAATATATGGTTATTCTAAAGCATATAAACTTTTATTTCCTTGACCCAATATAAAGGCCTGCATATTATTCGAACACGTGGTCAATGCAAGTAATAAAGAAATTAGGTGTATCTCATATGAAAATTGCCGTAGTTAAGAGATTCGACACTGGATCAAAAAATTTATTCATGTTAAAAGTTCACATTTAACAAATTCAAAGTTGAACTTTTAATCACATTATGCTATAAATGGATCAAGTCTAGATCTACTGATAAGGGACAATGCGAGTAAGTTATAACGGAATTGATGTAAAAATGAGCATTGCAATCTTTTGGATATTTTCGATTCTTTTTTCAATATCTAATGCTACAAAACCTACTAAACACAGTGAAGATAAACTCGATTATTTACTGAGTCGTCTAGAGTCAACAGAAGATGTTGTCCAACAAATTTTGAGTCGTGTGGAGCAATTGGCATCTGACAACGAGGCTCAGCAACAAGTGATTTTGAACCTGTTGAATCGTATTGAGCACTTAGAGCGACGTGAGTCCAGTCAACAGCAGCTAAATATAAGCCTGCAAAGACATCTGGCTGTCCAACGTCATCGTACTAGCTCTCTGGAAAGATTCGGTGAACGTATGAAAATAATTGTTAGAGCAAATGTAAACAAGCAAAATAAAACAGAGGACAGTATAGTCAAAATAAAACAAATTAATTCGAAAATTGGCATAACCATAGCAGATATTGCAGAAAATAGCGCCCCAAATCACGTTGCTTAAGCAAGAGGTTAGTTAACGTTCATGGATAAACGTTGTTTTATACATTAAAATGCTACATAGGTTTTACCATTTCCGCCCATGCACAGGCTTAATCAAACCGAGGTTGCAAAATTTCAGATTGGCCGTTTTGGGTGTTTTTTGGGAATTCCGTTTTGCTTTATTTTAGAAAAAGCAGAACATTTAATAATTTTCATTAGAAAATTAATATCCAAAAGTTTAACTGAAATATTATTTAACACTTGTATAAATTCTATATTTGTTAAATAAACATGTTATAATTATACATTGATGAATACATATGTTACATAACGTTTGGGAATAATGTTAAAACTAAATGTCTTCATTTATCATTCTAGTTGCCATTTATTGATATGTAATAGTTTAAAATATGTACATGCATATCATAATAAGCTGTGTATTCTTTTTTTAATTAAAGATACACATAGTAAGCGGGAAAGGATTCTACGTCATGAAAATGAACATCACGTCGCTTTCTTTGCCACTCTATCTAACCGCATTGAGCACGTCGGGATTGGCCAGTCATTTGTATTCGACAGAGTGGTAACCAACGTCGGCAGTTGTTACAATAACATACATGGTAACTTTATCGCCCCTGTTTCCGGAACATACGTTTTTTCGGCCACGTTGATTTCTGATTACCATAAAAATGACCATGCCCAATTCGTAAAGAATGGAAGTCCTGTTAGCTTTATGTTCGTTAGTGGAGCAGAAGCTGGATATGACACTACGAGTCAAACAATAGTGCTGGAGTTTCAAAAAGGAGATAACATCTTTATCCAAAACAACGACGCCGAGGCTTCTTATAATGGTCTTCATTACAACGCTTTCTCTGGGTTCCTTCTCCGGCAAAACTTTTCCGAGCAGGTTGTTGTCGGAAGGATTTAAACTGTTAAAATGAATTAGTGTTTTAATCAAACAATAATTATTATGTTTCTGTTAATAAACGTACCAGATTTACAGTGGGAATTATATTTTAGTTGTTATCGATATATCGTTTTTAGTAAATGGTCCTTGCTGTGAGTGAACTATATTCATGAATAAACGTCTTGGTCAGAATCGCTCCTGTTGATTTGGATTTAGCGGTACAATAAGGTGCAATTATTTACAATTACACTACGCTTTTACTATTTTCGTTCTAAGCACGGATGTATATATGAAAGAAAACAGCAACAAAATCTTAAAAAGGTGACTGTTTTGTATTCTAGACAGTTACAATATTTGCTAGGAGATAATGTGACGCAATCTGGTGACAAACATTTAGTAGCGCCAATAATATTCATAAGGCGGCTAGAATGTGTTCTTGTCCTTAGATGTACCATTATCCGTTGTTCGTTCTGTATTGCAATGTGGCTTTAGTGTTCTTCAGTTGTACTGAAACACCACCATCAAATTAATGTTGTATCAGAAGAGATAATAAAACAATACCATTATCAAAGTCATTCTAATGGCGTCAGAAAGTAGAGTAAAATATTGAAGTTTTTGAAATAAATGAAATGAAGTAATCCATTAGATATAATGATGCACTTGATACTTGTACAAACATTATACATAATTAATAATTGAATGCTGATATGTATTACTAGTGATTCATTATAGTGTTCTGTAAGGTTAATTTATTTGATATATTACTTTATCACGATTGTTGTTTGCAAAATAAAGGATTTTATACGGATTTGTTTTTCAAATTCATAGAAGGTATCATTTATATCTGTATAACAAAGAAAACATTTGGACATAAAGATTCTGTAAACCGACCAAGATAGCATATTATTTCATCTAACGTCACAATATTTTCGATTTACCATCGTTGTGATGTTGGCAGATATAACTTGATGGCCTTTTTTGGAACCTTTGCTCGACGTACCTGCCGAGTTACAACAGACGGTTCTCAATAATTGATGAAATTAAGAAGCGCGCTGATGTCGTTTGGGCGGACTGTCATTGATCATAACCTTCTTGCAACGTTGGATGAACGCTTTAAAATTCATTTCTAGAAGAAGACTTTTAAGGATTTCTTATAGATTCCGTTTTGTTTTGTTTTTCCCTAGTTTTCACGTTGATTCTTACTTTGATGTGTATCATTTGATCACACATTTTGTTTATTGTGTCCAATAATTAATACCTTAAAGAAGATCTTTATCTAGTTTTATGATAATTTTGTATTTTAATGTTCGGATCAATCATTATACATATATTTTGTTTATTTTGCACCAGCAGGAACTTTAGTAGAACCACTGACTTTAACTAAGCTATCTAGATGGCTTTCTCACATAAAAGATTCCAAAGTCTTCTGAAGGAATTCGACCCGCACCGATGAGGTGAGGTGAGGGACAAGTGATTTGAAGTTTGAAAATGTAACCACTTGGTCATGAAGGACCCATTTCTTTTACTTTTTATGACAGTATTCGTGTAATAATTAGGTTAGAGTCGAATGTGCTTCGAGATCTTATCATATAATTAAATGATGTCTCATGAAAATTGATGCTATTTGTAATATAAATATAATAAGAGTAATACATTTCGCATATCAGCAGATAGACTACAGTTTTATGTATGGCAAAGATTTAAAATCAAAATGAATAAATAACTTAAAAACTAAATAAATATAAAATATTGTTAAACACGAAAAAGTACATCGGCTTTCTGCGTTGATTATGACAGAATTTTGTGATTCGTTGCATTAATAGGGACAAACATTTTTTCTGAAAGTGTTGTAGACATGTCACAATATCTGTAATTGAAGACATTTGCGATAATTTAAATGGAAATTGCTGTGACGACAAAAAATATTATTCTAAAATAAAGGCATTTTCTTCCCGCGTCTTTTACTAGATGTTTACTCAAACGTTAAATGTCACCAATTTAAAGATGTTTGACATAACAAAACTTACAATAATCTTATAAATAAATAAACAATATAAAGGACTATTATCATTTGATCATCTTGTTTCTTTAAAACAAGTGATGAAGAAATCTATTGTAACAGTTGATATGACAAATGTCGATGAATTTATCGTTCAAAACTTTCTTACATAAGGGTTGACTTTAGATATTAAATTTACATCACCTTCATGCTTAAAGTTCACTATTTATACGTCAAACTTTGACACTTTATTCACATTTCGTTATATTTAGATTACGATTAAATACACTGATAAGGAACAATGCGAATTAGGTATGACGGAATAGATGCTAGAATAAATATGCTAATCTTTTGGATATCTTCAATTCTTTCGCCAATTACTAATGCTACAAAACCTATTAATCACAGTGAAAATAAACTCAATTATTTGCTGAGTCGTGTCGAGTCCACAGAAGATGTTGTCCAACAACTTTTGGGTCGTGTTGAGCAATTGGCATCTGACAACGAGGCTCAGCAACAAGTGATTTCGAACCAGTTGAATCGTATTGAGCAATTAGAGCGACGTGAGTCCGTTCAACAGCAGCTGAATATGAACCTGCAAAGACAACTGGCTGTCCAACGGCAGCGTACGAGCTCTTTGGAAAGATTCAGTGAACGTATGAAAATGATAATCAGACTAAATGTAAACAAGCAAAGAGAAAATAAGGAAAGCGAAGTCACCGTAAACCAAACTCAGTCGAATAGTGGTATCAACGTAGCAGATGAAATAGAAAATACCGTGCAATATCATACAGCCTCTTCAAAGGGTAGGTTCAGCGCAACAAGTTAAAAATATTGAAATATTTAGGATATTTTTTATGATTATTAATGGAAAATAATTGTTCAAAAAGTTTCTATTATAATTGGATTAATTGAAATAAACACTTTTATCATTCTCTGAATTCAATACAAGTTTTGATTTATAAAACTGTCTTAGTGGACGGTAAACATTTAAATGGATACATAATAGCATTATCCAAATTAATTTTTTAAAAATTGGGTTTCAAATTCCAGACAAGCATAGTACCCGTGCAAGGATTCGACGAGTTGAAAACGAGCAAAATGTAGCTTTCTTTGCCACATTATCTAACCACCTGCAGCACGCTGGTATAGGACAGACATTTGTCTTCGACAGAGTTGTGACCAACGTTGGCAATGGCTACCACAACTTCAATGGTAACTTTATCGCCCCTGTTTCCGGAACATACGTTTTCTCGGTGACGTTGATGTCTCTTTACCACAATAATGGTCACGCTCAATTCGTGAAAAAAGGAAGCCCTGTAAGTTACGTGTACGTCAGTGGATCGGAAGCTGGATATGACACTACAAGTCAGACAATTGTGCTAGAGCTTCATAAAGGGGACGACATCTTCATCCAAAACAACGATGCTGATAAATCCTACCATGGTGCCCATTACAGCACTTTCTCTGGGTTTTACTTCACGAAAATGTTTCAGATCAAGTTGATGTCGGACGAAAGTAAACTGTGGAAATGAAATGATTGTTTTATCATAAAGTTTATTTTAATAAACGCACAAGCATGGCAGTTTTGATTACTTATTTCATAATTACGTAGTGTATGAGATAATTGAGTATTCCGAACTAAATGTACTGTATCCTGTATCTTGTAAGTGTTTAAGTATTCTCAGACTAAATATGCAAAGAGAGTTCATAAACATGAATAAATTAACGGTTGGTCAGAATCACTCCTGTTTTTGCCAAATTTACTGGTTAAATGAAAAATAAGCATTTATATAAAAGTTCAATTAAATTGATAAATATTGCACATTTTCTTCGTATTACTCTAGCTAAACAGTAGTAATTATGCCCCCGCCATGTAATGGCCGGGGTATATAGTGTTACCCTGTTCCGTCCTTCCGTCATTCTGTCATTTCGTCATCATCATCTTAAGAACGGTTGCACACATTCAACTCAAATTTGACATATGGATATGTCATGAGAAAATACAGGTCAAGTTCGAATTTGGTCATGGTTCGATGATTTTTGGCAGAGTTATGCCCCTTTTACTTTGAAAATAATAAGAAATTTCAGTTTCCGTTCATTATCTCCCCAACGGTACAACACATTCAACTCAAACTTGACATATGGATATGTCATGAGAAAATACAGGTCAAGTTTGAATTTGGTGATGGTTTGATGATTTTTGGCAGAGTTATGCCCCTTTTACTTTGATAATAATATGAAATTTTCAGTTTCCGTTCATTATCTCCCCAACGGTACAACACATTCAACTCAAACTTGACATATGGATATGTCATGAGAAAATACAGGTCAAGTTCGAATTTGGTCATGGTTCGATGATTTTTGGCAGAGTTATGTCCCTTTTACTTTGAAAATAATATGAAATTTTCAGTTTCCGTTCATTATCTCCCCAAAGGTACAACACATTCAACTCAAACTTGACATATGGATATTTCATGAAAAAAATACAGGTCAAGTTTGAATTTGGTCATGGTTCGATGATTTTTGGCAAAGTTATGCCCTTTTTACTTTGAAAACAATATGAAAATTTACAGTTTCCGTTCATTATCTCCCCAAAGGTACAACACATTCAACTCAAACTTGACATATGGATGCGTCAAAGGAATGCGCAGGTCAAGTTCAAATTTGGTCATGGTTCAATGATTTTTGGCAGAGTTATGCCCCTTCCACTTGAAAGTAATATGAAATTTTCAGTTTCCGTTTATTATCTCCCCAATGGTACAACACATTTAACTCAAATTTGACATATGGATATGTTTATGAAATGCCCAGGCCAAGTTCGAATTTGGTCATGGTGCAGAGTAATGCCCCTTTCACTTTGAAAATAATATGAAAATTACAGTTTCTGTTCATTATCTACCCAACAGTGTTACATATTCAACTTAAATTTGACATATGGATATGTCAAAGGAATGGGCAGGTCAAGTTGGAATTTGGTCATGGTTTGATGATTTTTTGGCAGAGTTATGTCCCTTTCACTTTGAAAATAATATAGATACATCTTAGGAATAAGCAGTTTAAGTTTGAATTTGGTTGTGGTTCAATGATTTTAGACAACCTTATCTTTCCTGAATGTTGGAAAAATTTTGAAATTTCAGTTTCAGCACTCATACTTTTAGCCATTATTTTGGCTACAAATATGCAATGTGCTATTTTTAAAAGGTTAAGACTGAATAATTTCAGTGCCTTGAACATTGTATGAAAATGGTTTGTGTTAACATTGAAAAGTGTTAAGGGCTTTGAACTTAAAATGAAAAAAATAATTATGCACCATCTGAAATTTTGGCTGCATGCGGGGGCATCCGTGGCATTATGACACATTTCTTGTTTTTATTATGCGTTTAGTCTTTTTGACTATTGACATCAGTCTTAATCAGCTGAAAATCAGTTGCATTCCCTATTCGTAGTTAATATTTGATATTACAGAAAATTTGTTGTTGAAAATAATATGCATAATTTGGAGTTCACAAGTTTATTCTGTGTATGGTTTCAGACTTAACACATTTATGTCAAAGACTTTTACAAATTTTAACCTTGATCAAGAATATGCAATATTTCTCCATTTTATGCAAAGAGATATTTACCAGGCCATATGAAAGGCTGTTTTGAATTGATGAAATATGCTTGTTTATTAAATAAATGATACGACAAAGCGAAGATAAAATAAATGGTGCGATATTGCAAAATACTAGAAGAACTTAAACGGTCGATTGAATTATAACTAATAATAATTCCGGATGGTTTCATAACAAATGAATAAGGGCAACAGACCAATGCATTGTGATTCAAATATTTAATTGATTAACTTGTAGTGAAAATACTTATAAATAAAACGGCGTCTTATCTCGGAAACTCTTTCAAATTCAATGTCTTTGGTGTTATCTTAAGATTTTAACAGACATGATAAAGCAAAGGTTAATCAGTCACGACGGAATTTCAGAAATAAATGTATATTTTACTCATTCTCTTATTGATATTTTTTTCGTCAGTATCCAACGGCACATAAATCATCGGAAATGATAAAGATAATTTCAACAAATTCCTTAGTCATATTTGGTCTACAGATGAAGTTGTAGGATTGCTTTTTAATCGTGTGGAAGAGCTTTTGTCTCAAAATGAGGTTCAACAACGAAATTAATGATATTGAATCAATTGAATCGCATACAGCATTTAGAGAGACAAGATTACAATCAACAGCAGCTAAATATGAACCAGCAGAAACAACTTGCTGTCCAACGCCAGCGTACAAGCTCTCTGGAAAGATTGAGCGATCGTATGAGAATAATTTTGAGAAAACAGGTAAACAACAAAAATGAAGACAACATGTTCAAAGAAAAACAAACCCAGTCGTAAATCGTTGTCAACATAACAGATGACATGGAAAATAGACCGGAAAAGCAGGTTGTCACTGCTGCAGGCTTGTTAAACGCTACATAAAAGATTATCAAATCTATAGAATTAACTGTAAACAGTTTTAATACAAGTATAAAGGTGTTTTGAAATCACGAATTCCTCATAATATTGAATGTAGTTTATCTTATTTCATTACAATATTGATAATACAAAGCGCAAATATGGTACTGCAGTTGTTTAAATATATCCTAATGATCTTTTTACTTTTTTTGTAAATTTCAGACATGCATTACACCCGTGCAAGGATTCGACTTGTTGAAAACGAACAAAACGTAGCTTTCTTTGCCACATTATCTAACCACTTGGAACACGCAGGAGTTGCCCAGACATTTGTTTTTGAAAGAGTAGTAACTAACGTTGGCAATGGCTACAACAACTTAAATGGAAACTTTGTTGCCCTTGTATCCGGAACCTACGTTTTCTCTGCGACGCTGTTTTTTATTCACCACAAAAGTCGTGAAGAATGGAAGTCCTGTAAGCTTTATGTACGTCAATAGAGCGGAAGCTGGATATTACACTTCAAGCCAAACAATAGTGCTAGAGCTTAGGAAAGGAGATGACATCTTCATCCAAAACAACGATGACGATGCCGCCTACCATTATTTTCATTACAACACTTTCTCTGGATTTTTACTCCAACAAAATGATTTAGATCAAATTGCAGTTCGACGATAAACTGTACATGTAAAGATGAATGAAACTGCATTTTTTTAAGTGTGTATTCATGATTTTGATGTACTAGCATTATTTAAAGAATTAAAACTAGATAAGGTGGTCATTTTTGGTTGGGTTTTACGTCGCACCAACACAGTATTTGTCATGCGACGACTTTCAAGCTTTACTGGTGGAGGAAAACCTCGGATGCCCTTCTATGCAATATTCCAGGCACGAATGGTCATATGAGTTGAAGCATCGGTGTTCCGTCAGCTAGCGAGGTCGCTTCTTAACATGAACAAGTCGGGATTCGAACTTCGGTGAGTGGCAAGTGATTCGAAGTCAACGACCTTAAACATTCGGCGACGGATGTCCAATATAAAACTTAATTTCAAATAGAATGGTCTGGAAATGCCCTATATAAACTTTCCTATATAAACCCTAATCAGTTAAATATAATGGTGACTCGCTCTCTTTTTTTAAAACTGATAGTCATTATCATTATGTGTGTAAATATTACGGCCTTGCCCAATTTACATAAACACTATATTGATAGAACAGTATTTATTAGTTGTGTGATTCATCTGTGTCTCTCACATTTTAAAATGTATTTTGGAAGAAAAAAAAACAAAAAACACACACACACACTTCTGCTACGTGCGTAAAATCTGGGACGTGCAATAACACATCATATTCCACATAATATATATATTGCATCTGGGATACAGATAAATGTCAGTAACCCAGATTTCATGAAGAAAAAATTAAAATATTTTGCCGTAAAATGGCGCCATTTTGAAAATGCACCGCATTCAACATAGTATTCATAGTGACAGAACGAAGATCAGAAAATCTTTACATATGTCAGTTTTTTTTTTCTTTATAAGATAAAATTTCTTTCTATTTTCTTTGTCATAAAATAAAGAATGAATTAATAAAAGCTTATTAAACTCGGCCTATTTAAAGATGTGTTCAATAGAATTTTTAACTCAACAATTGAACAAGAAGCTTAAGAACACTAAATTCATTGAAAATCCTTTTTAAAGTAAAAAAGAGATAAGATTATGAAACAATTCTGCGGTCGATTTAACAACAAACTACGAGTATGATTGTTATGATTTGATTTTTATAGTGACACTCTATGTCATACCAGGTACGTATATTATATTTGTATCATAGTTTGGAGACCTTTCTGTTGAAAATGTGTCAGGGTTAAATCGTATACATATACATGCACAGTGCGTTAACTGGAGTGCGGGTATTAGTTACCCGCACTCCAGAGCATGACCATTGATTGGCTCATTTTTGCTGGGGTTTACATACTGTGACGGCAGAGAAAGGGAAAGCGACAGAAATGTCATATTGAGATGTTCGTTCATTGGTTCATTTTTGCCGGGTTTTCATATTGTGACAACAGGGAACATGCTATGATACAAAAGAGAAAGAACACCAAAACACTCGGCAATCTGATTAATACTCGGGGGGCTACGCCCCCCTCGTACAAATCAGATAGCCTCGTGTTTCGGTGCTCTTTCTATTACATAATATGTTAATATATATACCTGGTCATACCAAAGCTCTGTTCTTATATCACGCAAGGTCGTTCACATGACTCAGCCGAGACAGCTCGGCCAGTTATTTTGAAAGACCCTGTTCTAAGTAAACATTGTAATCAATTTTCTGGATCAATTTAGTTTTTAAAAAATATTTTTGGAAAAGTTTCACAGGAAGATAAAGTTAGTGCAACTGTTTTATTTCAACGTAAACATGTTTAAGTCGTTCAATAAAATTCTATTGTGGTGCGAACAACAAATTCGTAAATCCGACATACTGCTGTTACATGCAGCTTTAAAAAATGCCTAGAACCTAAATTCTTTCTATTTTTTAGACATTACAGAATAATGTTGAACTTTTCAGCTCTGTGAGTTTTAAGTTGCACCAACAAATAATAAAATATTAATTGAGTGTTACTTTTAACTTGAATTGTGAATACAATTTTCTTTTTCTTTTTTAATAACTTGTTATCTACATCTCTATACTGAAGACTATAGCTAGGCTATATATATTAAGTCACTAAAATAAAATTAAAAAATTATGGAGGAATTCGGCTAGAGAATGGCTAGAGAATGAAATGCTACAATTCTAGTATTTAAATAAATGGGATGCTGCCGACAATTTAGTATAGGTTAGTGTTTAATAATATGTATTAACAAAAATAATTGGTCAAGCCTGCCGCAGGCAGGCGACCAATTATTTTTGTTAATGCATATTATTAAACATTAACCTATTTAATGATCAACATTATTTTTTCAACCAAAAACAAGGCATTTCACTAAATCACCGATAGCTCCGCCCTTTCGCTCTACAAGATGTCTACACCTTGTCAAGTTTCAAACATGTCAAATTTAGATAAGATAAATAAATGGCCCTATCAACAAATAATCAGGCAAATTTTTTACTAAAATGTCACAGAATTTATACCTTTATCTACAGTAAGACTATCATGTTTCTATAAAATATCTGGGGGAAAAAACAGGGAGGAAAAACAATGGAGTTAATGAAATGTGTACATCCTTGATAAATAAATGGAAAATGTGAGAAAATACATTAGATTAATAATTTATACAAATTCGTTATTAGCTTTAAGTTATTCACTTAACATTTCAAATCCCATTTGAAAAACAGTTTTTCTGTGTTTTCCATTTACAATGAGTTTTCCAGCCAAAAAATGTAATCATTGTATTCTTAATATCAAGGATTGTTAATGCAGTTCATAATCCTATCAACTGAAAGAGGTAACATTTTCTAGAAAAAAGAAGAAGTTTAAAACAGTCAGCAATTTATAACAGACATTTTTCTTAGAGTTAAAAGGATATAAAAAGTTACTATGTAATCATTTGTCTCTGCGTGCCTAACATGTATTATCTATGTAATAAATTAATTGATTGTTACATAATCCTCACATTTAGAAACACCTGACCTCGCTTAATTGTTTTTTACGTTGGCATTGTGTTGATAACCTTAGATATTTTACAATTCAGAGTGCAAATCACACCTCTAACTCCTCCCTAATATAATGCATTATTGAAATTTGTTAGACTGGTTAGACGACAGATTAAGTAAATTTTATTTAGTTAGTACACATTAACCAAAGTTAGACTTAGCAGAAATTTCAAAAATACTACAATGTGATTGGACAAAAAATAATGTTGATCATTAAAACAAATGAGATTCTGCCAACAATGTAATTCCATAACAGGTCTTGTTTAAAGTTCGATTCGCGAAAAAGAAATCTTTTCAGTATTTAAGTTAAGTTTGTCACGTGAAAGTCATGTGATGATTACGATTACAAATGGCGAACTTGTAAAAGGAAGAAATGAAAACATGACGTTGTTATTAACAAATTCGCTTTATTTCCTTGTCATTGTCTTTCATTTAGTTGCAGTACCAGATTTTTGTGTCGGGTTTGAATGCAAGCACGAAAATACAGATCTCTCGGCTTTAAATGGGTAAGGAAAAATGATAAATTCACAAATTATAAACATGAACACACACTGATTGATGAACAAGTCATGTGTGTGATTTTGAGTCACTTCGATTGTCCTAATTTTTTACATAAGATTGTTAAGGAAAAAACAAGGTTTGCTTTTAAGAATTGTTGATCGATTTAGGTTTCATAAAGTGACATGTAATTAGAGGAGAATTTTCCAGCAATTGGAATGAAATGCAAATTAGGTTATTGGTTAACCAGGGTCTTTCAAAATGAAATAGAACCCTGGTTTAACTTTGTCTGTGGTTCATCAGTTTTAATCTTATGTAGATCTGCATATAACAAATCACATTAATATTTATCAATCAGTTAGATATGAGAAGATGGTTTGTAGGCCATTCAGAGTTGGTAATTATTGTGTCATTTTATCTCGCCTAATGATTCTCTAAACTGAAGAAAATAGTTTATTGCATAATCTTATACACCCATTGCCAGTCTATATATGAACTACGTAAATATCGAGGTATATCGAGTGAAAAAATACAAGTTGTTACCTTTATCTTCATGTAAAATCGATATCTTTAATGCTAAAACAATACAAATTTAGCCGGTGTGGGGTGATTTAATGTCCGATTTTAAAATTTTATTACACCAATGAAAAAATTGTGATCTTAGCTTTGTCTGAGTATATATTTCAACACATTGTTTGATACTAAAGGTATTTAAATTTACAGTTTAACCTACCACAAGTCAGACCATTTTACATAATTATTGACTAAGTCTGATAAAGAAAAGACTATTTGACCCATGTTCACAACAACAAGAGAACTAATAACTTTGTAGAGTGGTCACTTTCTTTTAATTGTCCATTTATCTAATATTTTACAGTATTTAATAAACTTCCTGCATTGTTATGTGTCTCAATAGTCCTATAAATATAATGTAGCTTTAAGATATTTTTGCTTCTGGGAAGGCTTATAACAAGTCTGAAATGTCTGATACAGTATATTGGACTATTGACTTGAGAGAATTAGGCAAAAGGTTAGTAAGTCTGGGTCTACCAAATAAAATATCTGCATCTAAACAGGTGTAACTTTTAATAAGGTATAGGCTAATTTAGGTTATTTTTAAATAAAACAATTCTATAAGAATTTGTTCATAAAAATTTGTGTTTTGTATTTGGTTAAAACTTTTACACATTTTACAAACATTTTATATCTACACAAAGTCAAAATATATAGCCTATGGTGAGCAGAGCATTGGTTTTTTTTTAACATTTTTTATATTTTGCGCCAAGCAATCAGGTCTAACCACTTAACTTGTATATTCACAGCACATGGCAGTCATGGACAGATGACTCTGTGAATGAGAACATCTCCTACCAGATAAGCCTGTGTTCCCCACTAAAGCCAAATGGTGCAGGCGGCAGCTCTTGTGCGACAGGAACCTCTGTTTGTATGAAATACAATGACACGGCATACTATTCAGCAGGCAATTTTAATGTGAGTGCCCCGGAGCTGACTGGTGGATCAAATAATGATCTTGGAGAGTCGTGGATTATCTTGGCAGGAGATCCATGTCCTGTCGACAATGTATACAATCTGACAACTTCTATCAACTTTAAGTGTGGTCCAACTTTGGTAAGATCTTAAATATTTTATTCATGTCTTCTGATATTGTCAGGTAAAAACATGTAACAATTTTTGTTGAAGAAGGTTGTCACTATTATGTCATACTAATTAATAAGGTCTTCATTTCAAAATAAGAAAGTTTGGTTCTGTACTTTCAAACAGTAAGTTTTACAAATTGTTTGTTTATAAGTGCAATTGAATTGAATCTTACAGTTACAACAGTTAAAATGACCTAGATATATTAGGGATGAGATACCAGGCATTTTAAATGTAAGATTTTGAAAAGCTGAATGACTGTTTATCTTTATTATATTCTTTATGTAAACAAACTTGTTTGTCTTTCTAAATTTTAACAACAAAGTATGTTCTTTAGCATAACATGTAATTTCATTTCATTAAAGATAAATACCAAATCATAAAAGTTAATGCATTTTTTCCCAAAATTTGTGTTTTTGTTTTTTCAGGGGTCGCCTGTTTTTCTTGACTTCACATCATGTGTGAGCTATTTTGAATGGGAGACTAATTTATATTGTAAAACTCGCAACACAGAGAAAGAAGTAAAATGTTACTTGTATGATGACAGCGGAAACAGATATGATTTGTCTCCCCTGGCAAAAACTAAGGGAGGTTATTTGGTGTCATCAGAATTAGATACAGACGTTTACATTAATGTATGCAGAGATATAGAAGCAGGTTATTTTGATGTATTTATTTGTTTCATTTTTAGCTGGACTATTGGAAGAAAAGTAGGGCTGTCCTGCTCGCCCTGGCGTCGGCACCAGCATTGTCATCACAGTGATTTTTTTTCAATTTTCAAAACAACTGTAGCTTTCTGAAGGGGAAAATATAGCGCCATAAATCAGAAAAGGGGAAAATCAAATTCGAACATCTGAGAATGGAATTTACCCACACATTTGATAAAATTTTCAATTTCAATTCAATTTAACATGCATGGTACACAGCAGAGGCTATAGGGACAGCTTTCTGTCTTCTAGCTGATGTAATAAGTCAGATGCTGTTAAGTAATGGTTCTGATAAAGAAGTGCACAAGGCATTTCAGGAAAAAATAAATGCTTTTTTATGAGAAAATATACCTATTTTGAGCTAGGGGAAACAGCCTTTGTTCTGCTGTAAAATACAAGAAAAAAAATTACTGCATCAGCATGACACTTTGGATAATGTTTTGTATTCATATCTCATCAACCAGTAATGATATTGCTTAAAACTTCACACAATAATTTGAGAGCAGAATTGGAAGTCACTGTCCAAGGCATGTAACTATAGCATGGATGTTTCAACAAGATTTTGAAAACCAAGTTGTTTTGGTTAAGAATTTGAAAATCAAGGTTTTGAAAACCAAAGTCCCTTGTATTGGTGCCATAGTCTGGGCAATAAAAATAGTGGGCATGTAGTTGAACAAGTGTCACCTTTTGAATGGGGACAACTGCTGAATCATACATTTATTAGAAAATAACAACTACTCTCTAAAGGCATCGTAATATGAGTATCTGCATGCATGGTAAATAAATAGAAATAAAAAAAATGTATGAATCTTTTTCTATAAAAAATTTCAATCTTGTGATAATGTTTTTAAATGTTAAGGTATTTGGTAACTTGTTTCTTTTTGAATTAATTGTTTCATTAAGGTCATCAACAATAAGCAAATAAATTTTTGCCAATCTGCATTACACCACCACTCATTAATTAACTTGACAAATTCACACGAATGTTATTAATTATATATATTTAACAAACTTTCATAAATCTTATTGATTAAAATTGTTTGTCAAATGTATTGGTAAATGTTAAAGTATATTCTTAAAGATATTTTTGCCTGCAGATCCTCTTACCACTGGATGTCCCTCCACACACGCAGCATGCAGGAAATCTAACGGTGTATTCATGGGTCTCGGTGAAGTAACTGAGGATCTTAAACGTGGAACTGATGGGAGGCTGGTGTTGAAATATGTATCGCCAAATTCAGAGGCAATGGCTGGATGTACCACAAAACCTTCTACTACAATTATATTTATTTGCCCAGAACGAGGAGTGGTAAGATTACTTTCGATTTCTTTAAGTGTATACACAAAGTAATTTTTACTGGGAGCTATTTTGTACAGGGAATGGCACAGGGTGAGAAAAAAGTGCAGCCTGACCGGGACTCGAACCCGTGACCATAGGAATACCCTACTATGGCTCTACCGACTGAGCTATCTGGCTGCTTACACATCTTCTTCCCTAAGTAGTGAAAAGTTCTAAACCGTGACATTATTAATGCTTACATGAGTAGTTTCTGTTCTATGCAAGTGTTTATCACATAAATTTCATAGCAAAATATGGCATATTTAAACAGAAGTTACATATTTGAGTAATTCAATTAACACTTTTGATTGGGAAATGTTAATGAGATTTTTATTTTCGGTAATATTTTCCATTTTAGTACATCTTAGATGGTTTATATAAAATATATGTGTTATGTCACAGAAACTTGTTAACTATCTGACAATAATAACACTTTAAAGAAATTCATACCATAATCCATTTTCCACCAAAGTACATGATAATAATTAGCATATGCTCTATTATAAGTAAGAAAGTGCTCATGAATTACCTTTGTTCACATTATTTTGTTGACACCAAAATTTCCCAAATTTACAGCAGTGTTTATAGTATACTTGTGAATAAGTGATAGTGCAATTCAATGATTACGTGTAGAATTATCAAAAAAAAAAAAAAAAAAAAATGGCGCCAGCATATGCCTCCCTGTTCATGGGGAAACTGGAAAAGGACTTTATCGAGTCACGAAATATCAAACCGACGCTGTGGCTACGTTTCCTGGATGACATTTTTCTAATCTGGGACGATACTCGCGAGGAACTCGAGAATTTCATTCGTGATCTAAATGATTTTCATCCGACGATTAAGTTTACGCAAACCATTTCCAGTTCAAGTGTTGATTTTCTTGATGTGCGTGTTTCCAAAAATAATTGCACTCTTTCAACGAACATATTCGTGAAAAACACTAATAATCATCAGTATCTTCATTATACCTCTTGTCACCCAAAAGCATGCAAGAATGGTATACCATACAGTCAAGGCAAGCGTTACCGCAGAATAATATCCGATGACAGTACATTCAAGGACTCTCTAGTTGATTTGAAAGACTTTTTTCTGAAACGTGAATACCCGAAAGAAGTAATTGACAATGCATTTGAGAAAATTAATTCTATGAGTCAAAATGAGGCACTGCGACTCACAGAAAGTAGCCAATCTAATTTTGTCATACCATTTGTTGTTACTTATAATCCTCATCTTCCTAACATTGGTCACGTTTTAAACAAATATTGGGACTTACTAAAGTTGTCAAAAAGTGAAACTGTAAAATATGTTTATGAGACTTACAAACCTATTGTTGCGTTTAAGAGACCCAAAAATATCCGTGATCATATTGTGCATTCTAGCTTTTCAAAGCAAATGTCAATTCATTCATCTTCTCCTTGTAGCAGAAGTAGATGTTCTCATTGTAATCGAATTACTTCGGATGTATCTTTTGCAAGCAGTGTCACAGGCGAAAAATACACACTGAGAAACCCTACAAACTGTTCTACAAATAATGTTATTTATTTAATCTCCTGTCAAAAATGCAATATGCAATATGTTGGCCAGACATCTCAACCGGTTTCACGTAGAATGAATAGTCATAAATTTGATATTACAAATTTCAAAGATCCAGCGTTTTCAACTCTTGTTGCAACGCATTTTAACTCAATTGATCATTCATTTAATGACTTTTCATTTTTACCGTTTGAGATTGTCAGCGACACAATGGAGCGTCTATGTAGAGAAACCTACTGGATTCATAAGCTTAAGACGTTTTCACCAGCTGGGTTAAATGCAAAAATTATATACGACATTTAATTATTTCCGTAAGTTCTTTTGCGTAGACATTCCATTATAAATGGTTATATACTTTTTTCCAATATAATATTTCATCTGTTTTATGCATGTATACACGTTACGTAACATTCACGTTGTTTCCTATTATTGTTTTTTATGTATTTTATATAGGAAATACTTGTATTTCATAATCCGTGAATGTTTATATACATATATATCGAAATCTTTATTAACTTTATTAATTTTTAATGAAATTTAATATAACGTAACGTAATAATGTATGTTTCCCGCCATCTCGGACGGTGACGTCATGTGACGTCTCTTCCTGTTTATTCACTTCCTGTTTATTCACTGACGAAGAACATATTTGTTCGAAATCGATTTGAATATTAAAAAAAATAACTGAATGTACGCGTGTGGTTGTTCTTTTTGGATTCATGTGTAGAATTATCACAATACATAATCATATGGCTAGCAAATACAACTACTTTTCCCAACTAGATATTGTTTGCTCTTGCAGAAAATTGATTTCACTCATTTAATATTATTACTGTCAATGTACCTACCATTTTTTAATTTCAGAGTAAAGACCCATTGATCATTGAAGACTTTAATTGCCAATATGTTATAGAATGGGAAACAGAATATGCCTGTGTTGAGGCTAAACTTCACAATAACTCTTGTGTTCTTACAAAGGAAGATGCTGATATTGACATTGACCTTCGTCCTTTAAAACGAACTCGAGGTAAATTTTGAATTACAGCTAAAGGGGAAGTAGTGTATTACTTAAAAACAGATCATTGGCATTTAACCATTTACCCCATGAGCATTTTGCGAAAAATGAAGCCCCCTGTAACAAGTTCAAACTGCTATGAAACTATGAAAAATGCTTCAATATTGATGAAACTTAGCACAAATGTTGACTAGACCATAGCCACTGTAACAGCATGCTCAATTGTAAATTTCCTGTTACCATGGCAATGGGGGATGATTCAAAATTAGCAAAAATCACTATTTTGCATTGTTTTTTTCTAGCAAAACTGATTTCAAAGTGCTGCAACTTCCCAATGGATTGAGATAGAGTAAAAGGCTTTTCAAGGTCGGTTACTAGTTACCCTAAGATCCACCTGAAGCCATTTTTAGTCTGTCACATGTCCAAAATTTTCTTGGCGATGAGGGGGACTTCGGCCCCCCCCTTCAAACCCCCCAAACAGGAGGGGGCACATCCCCCTTCTGGCAACCCCCTGATGTATTATTTCGATAGAGGGCAGCACAGAAAAAGTGGTCACTTTTTTTAACAACATTTCTCAAACGAAGAACAGTGTTTGGGGCCTAAATAAGGCATTTTTTCACTGTTTGAGGCCTCAAAAAGGGGGAGGGGACAAAAGGCCGTCAAAACACGTCTTTATAAGGGAAAAGGTATAACACGCATTTTGAATTAAGTCTTAAATATCATAAAGACCTATGTGTATATAATTAATATTTGATAAGTGTGTAAATTCAATTTTTGACTCTGCTATTGTAAAACTGATATTTCGAATGAATGGCGATAATAAATTTCAAATTGTTATGCATTTAATAAGGTTTTCATTTTATAGTTATGTTTGCTATATATTGATAGTTAATTACAGGTATTAAGCCCTTATATAAGTTAAAAGTGACCTCGGATATCGTGTACAAAATGTCAAGGTCCAGATGATTTCTCTATAATCCAGTTCACTGTATTGTAGTTTTGTTTGCTTTGAAATCTTTCTTTAAAGGTCAAAGTAATTTGTTGTCGGGGTTACACAATAAACAACCAAAGCTTTTTATCATGTGTTTCATGGTTTATATGTGAATTAAGTTTTTCGTTTCTAAAATTTCTGAAGGAAATGCATACAAAGTTAGCTGGCCGGATTCAAGCAGTAGCAAAGGGACCATTTATGAGGCTTTCCTGAATATATGTGATGATGTGGGCATTCCTTGTCCGGATGCCGAACACGAGGACAGGATTCCCTCGTGCCAACTTATCAAGGGCAACGATGACTTTGGACGAGCTCTTGGTAGCACAGATCACACTACGTTAAGGTAAATATGTTTGTATCTGTTTTACATTGTTTAAATCCCACTTTTATTTGTGGATAAGATTAACTGAAAATATGAACTATATGTACATTTACTGTGTTGAAAATGCAGGTTTTGACCATTTTGTATATATAGTTTTAAGCTATTTTATGTAAAATGTGGCTATCATACATGCTCAGGATTAGCATAAACCTTGGTTAAGGCAGCATGCCTCCAGATTCTTGCTAATTTTCATGAAATTTTTGAAAATGAATATTAAAAAAATAATGTAGTGTTAACAAAGAAAGTAATTTAAACATTGCAAACGGAATTAAAATCCACACAGATTACCAAAAAAGAGTTCAACATGTGCCTATTTGTCCATACTGTGTTGATCACCCAGTAGAAATATGATGAATAATATGCAAAATCAGTCATAAATCATTTACAACATGAAATTTATTACTTGAATCAAGAATATTTTTTTTTTTAAATCTTCTTTAAAAAAAATTTCAAGTTTGATTTTCAGTCATTGAAGGTACTTACTTGAAACTCCACATTTGTCTATAGATCATAATAGACTTACTCTGGAATGGAGAATACTTTGGTGTTTTCCCAGCTAATATGTAGATACAAACCAACTTTTACAGTTACAGCTTGGATAGAATTATTATTATTATAATTTGGGAATTATTCTGTTATAATTGTTAGCTATTATACACTGAAAATAATTTAGTGTGTTTTCTTATGGATAGCCCTTGTTATTTCTGTTGTAAAAATAATTTATAGTATAATATCACTAACCTTCAAAAATGTTCTATTCCATGACTTTTAATAAGCGGCAAAACAGTTGTATAAGTACAGAAAAAGTCGGTCAAGCATTTATAAATCAGGAGGAAATTTAATTTTACTAAAAAAATGTGAGAATGAGTCATTGGAATAAAAACAACTTGTATTGTATATCCAGTTAGATGACCTAGATGACCTTGATTATTGCAGAGAAAAAATGAGTTGTTTCTTTTTTTTTCTTCTTCTTGTTTCTGGATTATATTAGATTTTACTGATTAATTCAGATGACATTTTTTTTATTAATTTAGTTGTATTCTAATAGAAATATATAAAATATACATGGTTTAAGAGCTCTTTTATCATAAAATAGCTATGCAGACGGCAAGTTGACCTTGACCTACAAAGGAGGAGAGAAATGTCATCATAACAACTTCCAGCGGCAGACGGTCATCAACTTTGTCTGTAACCAAACTGCAGGTAAATATTGATTAAATCATATTTTAATATACACAGAAACAACAGGTTTTCAATATAATGAATAGTAAAAGGGTTGGGCCCAATTAAGTTCTTTCAACATTAGTATTATTACAATGAAAATCACATTATACTGTAAGTCTTAAAATCAGTGTTGAAAATGTAAAACATTTGTTTGATATTGATCAAATTAAATATTTTAAATGTTAACACTTAACCTTCAGTATTTGTGCAATGCATTAGCCTAACTTTAAATTTGGAACAGTCCATTAAAAAATTAAGGGATTTCAATATTTAAAATATGAAATTTGCTGTTGATAAGATCCAAATACAATAAGGAAACACCTTGATGCCTCTTATCTACCAGTACCCTTTCTATATTATAATAAGAAAAGCAGACTTCTTGTTTCCCAATCTTCTAGTTTTAGAAACAAACATCACTAAGGCGTTATAAATGGCTGTTGGGACGCTGTTTTGAAGAAAGCTTAACAATGATATGATGCTTTTTTCCAAAAGTTAAAATTACTGAAATACAAATTACTGAAAAACAAATTACTGAAATAGTTAGTTTGAAAAATGCAGAATTGTTTTTCTGACAGAAAATAGGAACAAAAACAAAAAACCTGAAGGCTGCTTTAAGGTAATATACATTTGTAACATATATGATAATATAATTGAGCCGTGCCATGACAAAACCAACATAGAGCGCTTGCGACCAGCATGGATCCAGACCAGCCTGCGCATCCGCGCAGTCTGATCAGGATCCATGCTGTTTGCTATCAGTTTCCCTACTTGTAATAGGGTTTGTAAGCGAACAGCATGGATCCTGATCAGACTGCGCGGATGCGCAGGCTGGTCTGGATCCATGCTGGTCGCAAATGCATTATGTTGGTTTTGTTGTGACGCGGCTCATATAATATTTCAGGAGATGGAAGTCCAGTGTTTGAGAACGAGGATGACTGTATATATATGTTCACATGGCCGACCAAATACGCTTGCTTGGATCATCCAAATGAAGGCTCATGCAGAGTTGATGTCGGTGACAAAAAATACGATCTTGGTCCACTTTCTAGAAGAGCAGGTCAGTGTGGAAAATGTCTTCTATCTTCTAAATACAACACATTGAGAAAAATTGACAGGAATGTTAGAATGAGTTTTCAATATCTGTTTGACACAAGTACATGTCATATTGGTAAAAATTTATGAGGGGGCCTCCAACATATTGCAGTAACTTTATTGAATACCTATGTGTAGCAGAGTAATGTAGATAATGTGTAGCAGACTTATGCAGGTAATGTGTAGCAGTCTAGGCAAGATAATGTGTAGCAAAGTAGATTAGGCCAGATAATGTGTAGAACTTTAGGGCCAGATAATGTTTTAGAGTTTAGGCCAGATAATGTTCCGCACTTTAGGCCAGATAATGTTTTGCAATCTAGGCCAGATAATGTGTAGCAGACAAGGCTATTTAGTAGATATGCATGTTGCTTTTATCATGCATACTCAGCACTTTATTTAAAAAAAATTATTTGAAATATGTAATGCTTAGTGTGCCAATATCATATATAAATGATTTACTAGTATCAACAAAAACGATAGTTAATATCCATACTAGAGAGACATATTGTTCGTAATATATATATCTGTAAATTATGTATAAAATTTATCAGCTGGCGTCATTCTATCTATTTCAGGAACAAACTGGATGGCTTTACATGAGCAGAATGACCTGTTTGGACGTGGTCAATATTTTATTAATGTATGTCATAACATCATACAGACAGGTGAAGCATCCCGTTGTGACCCCGGGGCAGCAATCTGTTACAGGGGTAAGTCTATTTTTTTATATTTCTACATGTTCTAAGATAACAGACATTTGAGATTTATTGATGAGCTCAATTACTATTATTAGCTGTAATTTCTTGATTAATTCTAAAAAAAAAAAGAAGGTTGAACTATGCTTACAGGTGTTTATACTTGTCTAAAAGTATTTCACAGATCAGATAAGGGACTCTTTGGCTTGGTATTAAATGTTCACGACTTGTTACCTTTCACTAAAAAGCTGTGAGTCAAACCTAACAAAGTGAATACACTTACATACTATATATAAAGAATATTACAGGTATTTTGATAGTCTTGAAATAATCCGGTTGAAAAAAGGTCAAATCACCTTTATTGAATGATTTGAACCCTTATCGATAAAAGAACTGCTAGTATAAAGGACCATTTTCAGTTTAATCAATTATGTTGCATATATTATATGTAGAATTATAATACTGCATTTTTGTATCACATTGATTGGTTAGATGATTTTTGTTGGACAATTGTGACTTGTTTATATTAACTTCACATATAGACATAGTTTCCAGTAAGTGTATAGATTTTTTTAAAGGCACATAAAGCTCGGATATGACTACAACTTTTAATCTAAACTTCCATGCAAACTAACCAAATCACTATAAATGTATTAAATGCAGCAAAATTTTAGAAGGTTCAGCTATAATATTGAAAATATTTTTGTTTTAAAAACTGCTACAAGACACCAAAAATAAATAGGTTTTTATGTAATGAAAAAAATAAAAAGATTTTTTAACCTAATGGGCCTTTAAGAAAGCAGTTATGAAGTATTGTCTTTTTCACAAATTATAAAACCATGTACAAATGGTTGTTTGCAATGTACATGTATAACCCTCACCTTGCAGCTCTGGTTATATTAACTAATACTGGGTCATGTAATACTGTATAAGTGGATATTTATGCGTCACAAAAAGGTTGTGAATGTCAATAAGTGGACTTTTTGCCTGCGGAAATATTTGCAAAAATATGATTTCTTGAATTTAATTCTGTTTTTGTGTTATCATCAATTAACCCTTTCCCCCATGAGCATATTGTGAAAAATGGCCATTTTCACTGAAAAGCCTCCTCTTACAAGTTCAAACTGCTATGAAACTATAAAAAATGCTTCAATACTAATGAAACTTGGCAGAAATGTTGACTGGACCATTGCCTGTGTTACGACATGCTCAGTCTTAAATTTCCTGTTACCATGGCAACAAGGGGACATCTCAAAATTGCCTAAAATCACTATTTTGCCTCGATTTTTTCCATCAAAATTTATTTCAAAGTGCTGCAACTTCTCAATGGATTGAGATAGAGTCAAAGGCTTTTTTAGCTGGGTTACACGTTACCTTATGATTGACCTGGGGTCATTTTAAGCCTCTCACAAGTCTAAAATTTTCTTGGCGATGAGGGGGACTCCGCCCCCCTTCAAACCCCCAAACAGAAGGGGGCACATCCCCCTTCTGGCAACCCCTGATGTATCTTTTGGATGGGGGTGGGGGGGGGGGGGGCGGCGCCGAAAAAAGTGCTCACTTTTTATAGCAACATTTCCCAAACTAAAACATGTGTATGGGGCCCAAATAGGACATTTTTTCACTATTTCAGGCCTAAAAAAAGTGGGGGGGGGTCGAAAGTGCGTTGTTTCGCGTATACATGAGGTAAAGGGTTAAGCAGGTATATATTAAGGATATGCTGTTATTGTCATCATTTTAAACAGTTGTTTAATACCTTTATTATTTATATAATTGATTGAATTATACATTGTTAGTTTGATAAAGGACCTGATCACACATTTCTTGTTATATTTTGAAACATTCCTTTATTATATGAGAAACCATGAGTAACCTTTTTTGTTATTAACACATATATTGTTTCATAAAAATATTTGTTATTTGTTAAGACCAAACGTAAACAAACAAGAAGTGAGAAAAATTAATAATTTCATTTTGCAAAAATTGCAAATATTTCCACGTTGCAAAATTAACCACTTATACAGTAAGTAAAAGATTTTATAACTAATCATATGAGATAGTTCTTGTTATAATATCATCAGGTGTTGTAAGATTTGTCCTGTTTGTCTGTTATATAAATTTTATTTATTTGTTGTTTTTTTAGAGGGTTTAAGTACCAAGAACCTGGGACGTTACGAAAGCAAGCCTGTAATAGACAGTAGAACAAACAGGACGGTGATAAGTTATACCAATGGTGATATATGTCCTGGATATACAACCAAGATATCTTCTAACATTACATTTATATGTAAACCTGGTAAGTTTTTAAACAAGTTGTTTGATCTTATTTCTTTAGGCCACTGCAGCATCTGTTATGATGTGGCATATAGCGAATCATGTATGTTTGTATGTATGTATGTAACTTTGTTTGTCTGTTATATAGATTATAAAGTGGACTAAAAAAATCTACTTCTAAAAAACTAGAGTCCTATTTAAACCAAAAATGCTAGGATTGTTCCTTGGGTAAAGGACTTCCAAAGAATTTGATTCCATGAAGAGATCTGGTTGCTATGGCAACCGAAAGGAATAATGGAGAAAGAAAAACCAACAAAAAACTAGAACCAAAATGCCTAGAGCATAGATATTTTGCATAAGGTATTGTCTGATGGACCTCTACCAAGATTGTTCAAATTATAGCCTTGAGGTCAAAACTGGGCCCACCCTAGAGTAAATGTGTTTTCCTTATATGTACAAGTACATTGTATATACATATAGTAAAAATCTTTTTCTTCAAAACTACATAGGCTAGAACTGGAGCATGAAACATTGTATAGCCAAGAAAATCTACTGCTGTTCCTACTATTTAGTGTTGTATTAATGCGAAGGCAATGGTTATGACTTGATTTCTTTGACAAATGAATTCATTGACAAACATAGTTATAAGTCTCACAATTTCATTATGTATTTACAGGAGATGGTGATAGTGCTCCAGTTTTGATACAGGTGTCAGATGACCAATGTTTCTACGAGTTTGAATGGAGAACTGCTCAAGCTTGTTCCCTAGGCCATTATACTGGGACAGATTGTAAAATTAACGCTGATGGTTAGTAATATATGAATCATATTGCATGTTTTTCTAGTTCAGTTCACATTGGGCAATCTGAAATGTTTATATTATCCATAATTTATGTCTGCATCACTAGTGCAATATTTGTTTTAAATATTTGAAACAAATATCGCACTGTTGCTGGTATTTTATAATGCAGACATATATTACAGTCATATAAGAATGGTTGGTTATTACATAAACATGTTTTTAGTGGCTCGTCTTATATAAGCATTTTACAGAAGTATAAACTGTGTCATGTGACCTGTAAAAATATTTATTAACTAAAAATGTATAAAATGATAATCTATTGAAATAAATAGTATGGAAAAAAATAATTTAGTTTTAATGTAGTCCATTTTTTTAACATTTGAGAATAGTTTTTTTTTGAATTTGACTGATAAGTGTATTCATGGAAGCATCTTGTCTTACAAACAAATCATTGAAATATTGAAAGCAGTTCCACTATGAACAAACCTATGAAACATATTTGATTCTGATCTACATTAGCAAATTTAATTTCAAAATATTTGATTTCGATCTTAATTGAAGATTTAATTTCAAAATATTTAATTTTGTCCTTCATTAATAGATTTTATTTCCAAATATTTGATTTTGATCTTCACTAGCAGATTTTGTTTCAAATATTTGATTCTGATTTTAATTATGAGATTTTTTTGATTTTTTTTTGGAATCTATTGAGTTTTGATATTGTTGCATGTGATTTTATATGAATGTTGTAGGTTTAAGTTTTGATCTGACACCCCTGACGTCAACAAGTGCATCATATAAAGTGAGCTCTACCACTGATACTGACCACTTCTACTATCTGAATGTTTGTGGACCAGTGACTGACCAGTGCAAAGATAGCGATATAAAAGATGTTGGTATATGTCAAGTGCCAAAAGACGGAAATGGGTGAGTGAATATTATTTTATGGCCAGAAAAATGATTATTCTTCTAATGTCTCTTTCAATCATACATTGTTTTCTTTATGTATGTAAATGACATAGTATATTTCTTCTCTGTGATATATGTTTGAGTTGCATGAGTCACAATTGAAAACACATTCAAGCAATTCTTTTTGTTGTTTGGAAGTTATTACAAATGGGAAGAAATGAATGACATTGCCGAAAAAAACATTTGTTTTTTTTTTACATGCAGTGTATTGTATATAAAGAATCATTAACCTTTTTCGTCCACTTAGGTCAATGGGGAGAGCATTGCATTTGTATACTCGCTAAACAATGTTTTTGAAGCTCATTAAATAAAATCAAATAACATCTTACAAAAAAACATATAAATTTTCTTTTCATTTCATGCTTAGTTACGAGATTTAATTACATTTCATCAATTATATTAAATTATTGTAAATATTCAAATCAGTGTTCCTCACTGGTAGCCTCAATTACTGATGACTGAAGACTAGAGCTCAAAATATAAGTTCTAAAATGAACATTAGATGGTGATGATATTGTTTTGACTTGAAACAAATGTGATGAAACATTTTAAACTGTTGTGTTATTTATTGATCATGTATATAGAGACTCGTATGTTACTGGTCAGTGGGCATCCGTGTTGCGGTATTATGATGGAATGATCAACTTGACGTACTCTGGGGGCACCCCATATAATGATGATAACCATACCAAAAGAAAGTCTGAGATAGCCTTTATTTGTGACCAAGATGCCGGGAAAGGACAGCCACAGTTCCTAGCTGAATTGGCATCAGAGCATTACTACGGGTTTGAGTGGCGAACATCTTATGCATGTCCTATTGAAGCAATGCAGTGTACTGCGGCAGATGAAAAGTTAAATCAGCAATACGATTTATCCAGGTTTGTTACTTTATGAATGCTGATGCCATGAATTATTTATTTAAACCTTATAATGGACCATCTGCAGAAGAAAATATGTTTCTTTATAACATACCTGTGCTGCTTTGCGACTCCTTAAAAATGGCATTGCACAGTCATGCATATATTTTGACATGATGTCTTTTGCGTTATAGGTAGCAAAAATATGTGTAAAGACACACATAAAGAGAGGCACATTAAACAGAAATATATGCAAAGATAGTTCAGAAATATACTTTGAAATAAATTGAAAATCAGATTTTTATGCTTTTCTTAGCCCAATTTGAGTGAAAAGTGTTTAAACGCTTTTCATTTTGGGCAATTTTTTAACTATTTGAATAATTATTCTGGAAAAACGAAGTGCGCGAATGATCTGAAATTTTGCACAAAGATTAGTGGTCTAAACCTACATCAAATGGTACATTTATCTGGAAAAAATATTTCCATTCCCATCATGTCAAAAAACCTCAGTGGAGTCCCTTTAATGTTAGAGTTACACTATAGGCCCGTTATTGAAAAATGGTTCTTTTTCACTTCAAACAATCCAGAGGCTCGCATAATATAGTATTAAACTTATACTTATGTTATCTTTCCTCTATAAAGTGATAAATACCACACCGCAGTATCCTATTAACAGGAATAAACCTTGTAAATAGTCTATTTATTTAAAGGTGCACATACAAAATCAGCGCTATTTGCTAAAACTGTTGAAAATAGTAGTTGAAAATTTTGTTGGGAAAAGTTTTATTTTGCTTCCTTATACATATATAGTAAAATTGCATAGCAGAGACACTTTATGCTTAAACATTCTTCCAATATAGCCTTGTAAAAAATTAAAGGAACCTGATGGTACAGTTTTTAAATTTTTAAAGTAATTTTTTACTAGGTAGAAATAGATATCAATTCTGAATGCATTGTTGTAGAATAATGCACAGTCCTAGTTCAAATGTGTAGGAATATAATCATGAAGGCTGATAGGCCTGAGTGATTAATTTCAAAGCATTTAAATGAAAAACTGCGCATTATTATACCATAATGCATGAAAAATTCATATCTATTTCCATTCTAACATGCTGATAAAAAAAGAATTGATGAAAAAATGTTGATCTACATTGAGCTGAGAAGTAATTTTCTTGATGTCATATGATGAGTATGTTTTTATGCTGTGCAAATATCATGTAATAATGCACTTGACATCCCTATCTGTTTGAAGCTTGCTAGAAATATAGATATACTGTAACCCAACGAATATTCGCGACCAATTAATATTCGCTTTATTCGCGGATGGCCACGAAGCGCGAATATTTGTTTGCGCGAATAAGTCCGCACGATTTCGCGAATAAATTGGAGAGAATTTTTTATTTTAGACGTTGTTCATGCAAAGCTACTTGACCGGATATATTCGAATTTTACGGGCACCTGTTAGGAAGTAATGAATTGTTATGAATATTGCCATAAAGCAATAAAAACACAAACTAAGTAAACTACTACTATTTCATAAATATCAAAAGAACTCTATGTCAATATAGCAATCAAAATAAACATCCACATTTTAATACAATTTATGAAATACTAGTAGGCCTATTGTCAATCAAGCTCTGTATAGGGTACTATATGGAGCATGTGTCAGTTTTAAGTTTCTTCATATTTAAATGTTTGAATAAATCGTTTGACAAAAGTGGGAAAACTATCGAGCATCACAAAAGGCTATTGTTTTTTGGATCCTATAAAATAATTGTTTGAGTGAATTGTTCAGACAAAGGTGGTATAAACCTATCAAGCATCACAAAAGGGTATTGGGTGTTAATAATTACAAACAGTGAAATACGAGATGGTTTCATACTAGTATCGATTTTTACCCGTCAAACTTAACAGCCTGTATAGCTCAGTTGGTTAGATTGCGGACTCATATAACATAATTTTCTCGGCGTGGGTTCGATACCTGATTGGAGATTTGGTGATAACATTTCAAATACAGCTTCGTTTGCTGCTTTAATCATTTTTTTTCGTTTCTGTTGTGCTCTCCAGATCATGATCAGGCAAAAACGATGCCGAAACATCCCTGCATTCTGAGGGTTTATTTTTTATCAACCACCCTTTTAACGACATGTTTAGAGATGAAGACGAACGATGCGTACATGTACATATATAGAGAAAATGTTTTGCTGAATTGTGATCACAATTCACTTACCAATACAACATAAGGCTAGCGTATTGTTAATCCCATTTAAGACACCAATAATGACCTCAATTATTGAAGATTTATAGTCGGCTAATGGATTTTACGGTCCCATCGGACTTTCCAATACGCGAATATTTTTTATTTGGAAATCAAGAAAACGCGGAAATTAATATTCGCGAATATGTCCGACCTCGGCAAAACGCGAAAATTTGTATTCGCGAATATGAATTGGGTTACAGTACACAATTTAACATATATTTATTATAGTCTGACGTTGACGGACGGCAACAACTGGGCTATTGATGATAGCTCAAACAGGAAATATTACATCAATATCTGTCAACCGTTAAACAAAGTTCCTGTTGGCAGTGGATGTGATCCCTTAGCTGCAGTGTGTAGAACCAAGTTTGAGAACGGACAAGTGAGTGTTTCAATGAATTATTTTGCAACCTTAGTGCAGTAACAGATTAAGTCCTTTTAAATTAAAACTGGGAGTTAACCAGTTAGTGCACAAAGGTTACATTTTTTTTTCTGCCTCAAAATTGACACTTGTTATTTTATAACAGAGCTTCAACTAAGTTCCAAAATTTGGAAGTCAGACACTGCAAAATCTCTGATATTGGAAGTCACATTATATAGGTAAAGAAGGAAAAGTATTAGATTTTGGAAGTCACAAGCCAAAATCAGGGAGTAAATGACTCCCAAACTTTCATTAATGGAAGCCCTGTTATAAGTTTATATCATTCCAGTACTTTAAATATGTAAAATTCAATTAAACTTAACTTGAAAAGTACATTAAGTAACAAATATTTGTGCATTTTGATTTATTTGTTTAATTTTTACCCTGTTTGAATTAAAGATGTTAAGCCAATGCCATAGATATACAGCAAGCCCAGCATGTTTTGTATTGATTGTAATATAATTATATTCTTTGTTAATAATGTCGTTTTCACTCCATGAAGGAGAAAATAGATGTAGCAAACATGGGGAGTGTAGAATCAAGGCTTGTGGTGGAGGCCGAGGACAAATTGAGGCTTGTATACAAGGGAGGAAGTTGTAATAACGGAACAGCCAATGTTCCTTACGTGACTAACATTGAGTTCCTGTGTAGACACAATACTTTGGTCAGTGAAAAACTAAAATATCAGTTCATTTCTTTTTAAATTTAAATTAGTGATTCACTAGCCTTTAAGCCTCATAATTATATGAGATGGGTTGATGGATTGAAAAATTAGTTTTATATGAAGTCTAAAAAATTATTCCATTTACTAAAATCATCAAATTTAATGAGGTAATGTAGGGTTGTAGATTCATCCACATTGTTAGTGTAAAGTAGCATTGAGGATTTATACACATTTACAAGTTACTAGTATAATACAAATATTATAATCAAGCAAAGCAAGGCCATACATTGTTTTAGTTCATTAATACCTCCAGCATATACATGTATAATGTTAAGCAATTAACCACAAGTTGAGAGGTAAATCCATTTATCTTGTTTATTGATTTTATAGATTTTTAAACAAAAGAATCTTTAGATGTATAAGTTTAGATATAAATAGGAAATTTTATTTGTAATCAATACATAATATTTGGTTTTGATAATTCAGACATCCCCTCCAAGTGCCCCATTACAAGATGGTCCGTGTGAGTACACCATTGTATGGGACACGCCTGCTGCATGCCATCTGCAGAAGGACGATGACATGGAACCTTGTACAGCAAAAGATCCAAATAGTGACTATGTGTTTAATTTATCTCCCCTGACATCAGAGGATCACCCCTGGAATGTCACTGTTGATGGATCTAATTATCTCGTAAGATTGATCTTTATTTCCCTTCTGTTCCATTGGACAATGTTGACCTTTATTTCTCTCTGTTCTATTGGACAATGAATATCTTACTCTTTGTCTTATCTTGCCTGTACTGTATTCCTAGAAATTATTTCGCGCGTTTTAAGAAAGCGTTTTTCGCGGTGGATACATTTCAGCAAATTTTTGTATCTGCGAAAAAGTTGCATGTTACAAAGCCACAAACATTTGTAACTTCAACCACTTAGATTGTCCATATGTCATTATAAAGTTCATGTTGTTTACAGTTTGCATACATTGAATGAAAGGAATTTTCGCGCTTAAACGAAGGTGTTATTGTTTGTTACATGTACAATAGCAAACAATACCTTTGTGGATAAGCATTTCGTGAATATTTTTAAAGGTTAAAGTTTATTCAAACAATGAATTTGTTTTTAGATATTAAAGTCAGTCATAAAAAAATCACTTATTTAACTCCACATTATGATTTTAAATGCAAATAACATTATTTGCGAAGAGAAAAGTATTTTAATGCTTGTATCATAGAATTACGTCAGAAAGTTATCACATCTTACATATAGATTGTTTATAGGTACAATTTAAAGGTTGTGTAAATATCGTATGTATACCTTAGCCTTGTCTTGTGAGTAAAGAAAGAACAAATAATGAAACATATAGTTTGTTATATCATTAATATATAATATTATGCTCTTTACCTCAGCGACTTAATATTCGCGAAATTTGCAGTCACTATGTTTGCGCGAAAGTTTGCTCAGCGAAAACGCCATCCTTATGAAAAATGCGAAATATTGTTTCTGCAACAGTTTCTAGGCATACAGTAATTCTTGTAAACTTTATAAATGCTTTAGTTTCTAAAATTCATGTACTTGGAGATGTGCTTATACTATAACTTTTAACTTTTTAGCTGCTTAACCTTTGTTAATCCAGCCTGAAAGTCATATCACATTTACAATATTGATGGGACTTACAACCTGATCAGATTATCTGCTCTATTAACTGTAATACAGTCTAGATTTTTACTTACAGATCAACATTTGCGGCAATATATCTGAGACGATATGTCAGGGAAATGGTTCTAAGCAGTATGGAGCTTGTGTACAGAAAAATGGTATTACTCAAGGTTTAGCAGAGGCAAAGACACTGCTGGATTTTACTGAATTTGGAGCAATGTCCATATTGTATGAGGGAACCAGGTTAGGCAATGGTAAGTAACATTTCCATACCTTATCTGGATGTAAAATGTACATTTTCTTGAAATAATGTTTCTTATTTGACTTCAGATTGATGGAGAAACACTTAAGCAAAATCATTTTAGGCTCGCGTGTTATAATTCTGTTTTACAGCCATTGTCCATGACTTGGTGAGACAGTCCTCGTACATTTAACACAGGATAACATTTTGCTGATAAAGCTTTGACAGTAAAGATTTTTGTTTTGTAGGTCAAGTTTGTTTGTTATTATTTCATTGTACTAAATAGATGACACCTAAAGGTATACTGTATTATTTTCTATAGAAACTGTGCTGGTGTATCACATTGTTCTTAATACATGTATGTATATCATTTAGAACAATAAATTATCTTTTTAAAGATCATTACTTGCCCTGGATGTTTTCAAGACACACCATAGTTGGATTACCTTTTATTGACCTTTTTTTTCACAAACCAAAAAACTTTTTCACCAATATCTGTGAAACTTTATTACTTTTGCCTTAACCTGCTAATTTCTAAAATAGATTGCCCACATTTCGGATGAATGGTTTTGTCAAGTTTGAATGATGGACATGTCCATTAAAGATACATGTACTTAGCATTATAAGCTCTGATTATAGTAAACTTAGCCATTAAGTTAATAGGATCATCTTTTCATAAAATTATGCCTAAACTCTAATATATTTATTCAAAGTTTGACTCTAATACTATGATATCCTTTTTATCGTTGTAGGACTGAGAATTGATGTGAAGATAGTTTTTATGTGCGAACCTGGTAAAGATATTGGCTACCCTTCCTTTCAAGGAAAACAGGGAAATACATATGTCTTCAATTTTTTCACGGCTTTGGCCTGTACTCCAGTATCTACGGACTGTTTTGTCCAGGATGAAGCAGGGAAACAGTATAACCTTCGACCTCTTACGGTTGAAGGCTACTACTCTGCTACTGATGATAGGGATACCAACACTAAATATTATATTAATGTGTGTGCACCTGTTCAGAATGTTCCAGATGGAAAGTGTATAGGTAAGCTTCCATCAAATCTATTCAAACATCTTAACAGGAAGCATGTTATCTATCCTCAGCTTAAGATGTAGGGATATAGATTTAGGGCTGTCTGTAGGTCAGTCTGACTTTTATATAAATTTCATCTCTTTAACCACTTGGTCAGTTTTATCAAAACTATATAGGAATATTCCTTGAGTGACCCTCATTAGAAATCAAAAAAAAATACCATTCCTTATTGATTTCTTTGAAAATCATGATATTTCTTCCCGACAAAAATTGAACGTCATTTTTAGTAATATTTGATGATGATTTTATGGTGGCCATCTACTATGGTGCTAGTGGGCTTGGTCTTTTTCTTTTTCTGTTTTTACAAAACACTTGATACAAATAAAACAATAAGTATTGACTTTGTTAAATGTTATACAAATAGTATAAGGGCTTTTTTAGACTATATTTTATAGGAAGTCAATCTTTGCAGATCTACACTCAGAGGCACTTATAACCCTTCCAAATTTGAGCAAACTCTGTCCACAAATAACTAATATATAACCCAAAAAATGTAAGTTTTGGGTAATAATGGCCTCGTGAGTGCATGTACTTTAATATTTTTATGGATTTCCAGATGGACCAATCGGAGGTTGCCAGGTGGCTAGTAATGGTAAATCATTCAACATGGGCTATATACAATCCAAGCCTATTGCCCATACTGATGGCACATTAACATTACACTACAGAAATGGTGATAAATGTCATAAGGGTACTAAAAACGAAGCTCATCGATCAACACGGATTAATTTTTACTGCTCAGATACTGAGGTAATGATCTAAAAATAATTTGTTTTTGTTGTGAATTATTGTTCTTAACCTTCAAACAGCTGACATTGAACAGTTAGAAAGTCATTTTATTGCTTTTTATTACATCTCATATCATAATTGATTTTATATCTATTGAATTTTTACTTTTGATATTCTTGTCATAAAACCAAATGAAAAATGCTCATGGCCGTGTGCTTAACGCATCAGACTAGTAATCTAATAATCGCTAGCCGCATGGGTTTAAACCCTGTCAAGAGGCAAGTCATTGTTTCCTTGAGCAAGAAACTTTACACTCATTGCTCAGTGCTGGTTGGTTCCAGGAACAGATTCAAGAGTGTATCTATAAACTAATAGCTTCCTAAAATAAATTCTGTATAAACCAAAATGTACATATTTATCAGCTGAAGTAAATGCCGATTAGAAATAATACATTTTTGGTTTAGCTTGTTCTGTTTTACCAAGCTTCATCAGTTCTTAATACAATGATACACAGAACCTTTTAATGGCCATATCTAACTGCCTGTGTTGTAATCTTGTAGCATGATCCTGTGTTTGGATATGAGACTCAGACTTGTGAGTATGTATTTGACTGGCGGACACCTTCTGCTTGTGCTGTCGGGGTATGTGTAAAAAATTTGTATCCTGAAACCTGCTTAAACTGAAAGATTTTAGCTATTGTCATCAGTAGTGAGTCTGACTAGCCTGCAGTCTGACATGGCTCTATAATTTGGTAGCACATTTTTAGCTGACCTAGATAATTTGAGGACATGATCTACTTTTTTGTCCTTTGATGTTTAGCTCTGAAATTTGGACCAAGTGCACAGTTTTGGATGTAAAATTGAACATTATGGAAGTAATTCATACATGGACAAAACAACAAGTGTGACTAGACCTTCCTTTATATTTTTTCATGTACTTTAAGTCATAAGAAAATACTTATTAGATTTTGTTTAAATACTTGATAGAGTGCCATGTAAACTCTTATATCTACTAACCAAAAAAGTGACGCGCAAAGTTTACGTCCCTGGCAGGCGTTAGTCTAAATGGAAGATATTTAGATAGAATTTCTTGTTTGTTATTTCTCTTATAGATGACCATTGTAATTAGTTATTGTATATTAATATATATATATATATAAATATTTTCTTACAGTCCTCTAGTGGTGGTCAATGTAAAGTCGTAGATCCCCTATACAAGCATCAGTTTGACCTTAATGCACTGGGATCTCGAGATTATAGTGTTACCGTTGACGACGCTAAATATGACATCAGTGTTTGTGGACATTTACAGGATACAAGCAAATGTGGAGCTAATTCCGGCGCAGGAGTTTGTCTGTCCAAACCAAGTGTTAAAAATTTCAAACCTATAATTGCAGGTATTGTAATGTATATAAGTAAGCTTTAAACTCTTAATAACCTGTTCAATTTCTTAAATAAACTTGTTCAGTTTACATATTCTGGAAATATTCATAATCAAATGTTGAATATCATGTAGCTAATTTGATGTTGGTCGGCCAACAATATAGAATCATTCTTTGTTACGATTTGTATAAGAAATTAATAATTGCTGGTCAGTTTTTTAGTAAAGCTTGTTTGGTGTTCCTTCGACCATGATATGACCAAAAATATGTAAAAATAAGGTGTTAAGGCAAGACAACTAGACAACACCAGTGTACTACCTGTATTTCTGTTGCAAATTTACACAAATTAAAGATTGATTAATACAAGCATTTCAGGTTCATTCTGTACATATATGTCTTTATCACATACCCACTCCCTAAATTTGGTATTGCACGGCTGTGCATATATTTTGATGTGGCATCATTTGTGTTATACAAACCTAGTGTAAAGCCATGCTAAATGTTAACATTACACTATAGGCATGCCAATGAAAATTAATTCTCTTTCACTTTAAACACTCGTTTTTTAGGATTTGATAAACTGAATATTATATTTGTGTAGGTTCATTACTGAATTTATTCAACTCATTCAATAAATTTAGTACTGAACTTACACTAATTCAATGTCCTCTATATAATCTATACTACTGATACTGTTTTTTTCCTTGTTTTAGGCAAGGCCAACGACAAACTGATATTTGATGGTGGAGACTTACTGTTGAATTACACCAGTGGAGATAACAACTGCTACACCCTCATTAAGTTTTCCTGTGATCAAAAGGAGGATGGAAGTAAAGGTATTGTCAGTTTGTTAAAATGGTGCTTTTCTTTGTAATACACCCATAAACACTTTCGATTATGAACTAAGTAAATAATTAAGGTATATCGAATGAAAAAACAAGCTGTTTCCCTTGTAAAATTGATATCTCTTATGCTAAAACAATACAAATTAAGTCGTTTTTAAACAGCTAGTGTGTTGTGATTTATGTCCAATTTTAAAATTTATTACACCAATGGAAAGCTTTTGATCTTAGCCTCGTCACAGTATATACTTCTTACATCTTTCAACACCAAAGTATTTAAATTAACTGTTAAACCTACCATATGTCAGACAATTTGACATATTATTTATACAGTGAGATACACAACAGGTTATCTTCACTCGAAAACCTACTAATAAGAATAGCCTGTCATCTTCTAGTTCTGAAAGTGTTTATCGTGAATTTTCCTTGTAGCCCAACTTTTGTCAATCAAAATAATATTAAAACTGCTGATGATTGATCTCTAACTTTTATCTGTAATGAAAGTTACATGATTAACCCCTCTGTCTTTAGTTATATTGAAAGGTTTTTCACTATTTTTAGCTCGACTATTCGAAGAATATGAGAGCTATTGCAGTCGCCCCGGCGTCGGCGTCGGCGTCGGCGTCAGCGTCCGCGTCGGCGTCTGCGTTGGTTAAAGTTTTTTGTAAAGTCAAATATCTCAATTATTACATGAGATATTCAATTGAAACTTACAATACTTATTTATAGTAACAAGGTACATCATATTGACAAGTTGGATAACTCTGCCTACAATATTGACAGAATTATGCCCCTTTTTAACTTAGAAATTTTGGTTAAATTTTTTTGTAAAGTCAAATATCTCAATTTTTGCTTGAGATATTCAATTGAAACTTACAATACTTATTTATAGTAACAAGTTACATCAGATTGACAAGTTGGATAACTCTGCCTACAATATTGACAGCATTATGCCCCTTTTTAACTTAGAAATTTTGGTTAAAGTTTTTTTGTAAAGTCAAATATCTCAATTATTGCTTGAGATATTCAATTGAAATTTAAAATACTTTTTTATAGTAACAATGTACACCAGTTTGCAAAATTGCATAACTCTGCCTGCAATATTTGCAGAATTATTTGCCCCTTTGAAACTTAGAAATTTTGGTTAAAGGTTAAAGGTCTTCAAAGATATTTACTTGAAACTTTACACATGCACTTAGGGTCATAATTGGAGGGTCATAATTGTATGTCACTGACCAAATCCCATAACTCTATCTTGCATTAAGGCTGATTCATATCCCCTTTTCTACTTAGTCTCTTGGTTAATGTTTACATGCAAGTTTTACATATCTCAATAACTATTAAAGATATTTATTTAAAACTTCACACATGCATTTAGGGTCATAATTGTAGGTCACTGACAAAGATCCATAATTCTATCTTGCATTTAGGCTGATTTTTCTCCCCTTTTTCAACTTCATTGTACAGTTTTGCTTGTAAGCTGTTATCTCAATAATTACTGAAGGGTTTGTGCCTTTTTTGGGACAATTTTATGCATTCATAATAATAAAGCAGTGATTTCCTTGATAAAACATCTTAATAACAAGCCTTTGTACCTTTTCTGTCAAATTTATGTATTCATAGGTAATTAGTATTATTATACTCAATAAAACACCCTTGTGACATTACCTTCCAAATAGTCAAGCCAATACTGTATAATTAGACTCTCTCTAAGGCCTATAACATGAATTTATAAAAAAAATTAGCCCTTTTGTGAACTTAAAAAATTTAACATTATCAAGGCTCTTTTACTATCAAGCACTTAGAATAGTCGAGCGTGCTGTCCTTCCGACAGCTCTTGTTAGAAAACAAATATACAGTTTTTCATTTCAGGTAACTTACAAAAACCCTTACAAAGCTAAATAACTGAAATGAATATGTGCATCTTTCAGTCTCAACAAACTGTCCATCATTTTTAGGGAAAAACTGACTGAATAACAAACAGTGCAGGCATATTTTTAAACACTTTCTATATTGTCATAAATAGCTAGAAGTCATTTTTAATTTTTTATGCATGCTGCTTAAAAAATAAGTTAAGAAAACAACAGATCTATTTTTGTATTTGTACAGGTCCACAGTTTGTAGAGAAATCAGAACAAAACTGTCACTATTTGTTTGACTGGCCGACACAGCACGCATGTCCACCAAGAAAATCAGCTACATGCAGTATTAAAGATACACATGGAAAATCCTATGACCTCAGCGACCTTGAACTTTGGAATGACAATTATGAGGTCACAGATACAATGGAAAAGAAACGTTACATTATCAATGTTTGCAGATCAATTATATATAAAAAGAGTGAGTTACAGCAAATAATTTATCATAATAGTTTGTTATATATCATAAAAATATCATGAAAATTTGATTTCAATTCATAACCATACTATAGAATGAAATATTTTCCTCTTGACATTAGTTGTCTCCCTTTTTTTCAATAAATTTCATAGTTTTTTTTAGTGAAGATTTGTTTTAAGTTGGTACTTAATAATGTTTCTGCCTGGGTTCCCACTATCTGAAATAACTTATTGATTTTTATATTTAACCAGCAAATCAGCATATAACTTTATTAGAGAAAGCTTTACTTTACAGCCAACAAGAAAAATTGAAACAAAACTGTTTGATTATGATATTATTACATTTAAAATACATATATTTCCAGATGCTACATGTCCGTACACATCAGCTGCATGTATGGTGGATCTCACTAAACCTGAATCATCAAAAGACAAGTAAGATCTAAGATAAATAAAGAAATAAATAACTTGTAAATTTGTATTTTTTAGGGAACTTGCTAGTTTTTTGGGTTTTATTTTGGTCTCATAAAGTATTAAAAAGAAGACATATAATGAAGTATGATAATAATGAAACATCATGATGGTTTTTCGTATGTTGAGAATTGGATTTGCAAACCAGAGGTTATTGTTTTGATACTTTGGTGGGCGTCATTGGGTGGGCGTAATTTCTCTGTGACGGTCTCAAACATATGGTCATTTGTCTCTCACTGCTGATTCAGAAATCATGAGGAATTAGTAGCCGGTCAGTGCGTAGATATTGATAATTACTGGTTAGTTATCTAGCAATATGTGGACCAGCCCCTGAGATATGATCAAAATTGTTCTGAAATCGACATAAGAAACATACGTACAAAGCACATGTCTAACTATTTATTCCTACTGTATTACAGGTATAAGAATATTGGAGAACCTAACGGATACCAGATGAAGTTTGAGAACGGTCAAATTGTTATAACTTACACCAATGGAGACAAATGCAGTAATGGAAAAGATAATATGACAACACATATAGTATTTAAATGTGACAAAAATGCAAGAGTAAGTTTGGTTGAGTCCATTATTTTCTATTACAATATTATATAATGTTTCAATGCTGAAAACAGATGGTCTCCACTCCCTAAATAAAGGAGAGATAAATATGTGGCCCCCATTTACATAATTGATGATTTCATATTAGTATATATATTTCTTTAGTGCATAATTTACTTGATAAACTGTTACTGTACATTGTATACTTGATGAACTGTTACTTGATAAATTATTTTTCATACATTAAGCATTCAAGCCCGGCCGGTCATTTCATGGTAGGTGACTGTGATCACCATTTTCTGTGGACATCAGCATCAGCCTGTCCACTCACAGATACCAGTGATGGTGGTGGTAGTAGTGATATTACATGCAAGGTTACCAATCCTGCCACAGGTATACCTATTTGTTATGTTGATTTAATGCTGTTTTTTTTTCTTCAGATCTTATTTGTTTGGTGGCAGTTTAAGATTTTTTTTTAGGTCATATACTGATGGGCACTGATCTTAATAGTTTTCCTTGATTCTAAGCCAGTGATAAACTTCTGTTTTAAAGTTCATGCCCTGATGTATAAACATGAAGTTATTTTAGCACACAGAATGGGGCATAAATGGCATTAGACATATTTTCATCAGCCAAATAGTTGTAGAATAATGATAGAAAAAACTACTTTAGTTTTTATTTAATTGCAATTGAGGGAATAGTAGGAGGTGCATATAGGTTTGCCCTCGTCTATCTTAGAATATTTGTAAGTCTGGAATTTATTCATTTGGCTATTTTGACATAAATTTATTTAATATTGGTAGAGTTTTGCTCCCGTTAATGAGTAAAAAGTAGCTTTTTCTTGTGTTGTATGTTAATCTCAAAGTATAACTGCTATGAAATTACTGAACTTTCTGAATAGTTGTAAGCATGTGTGAACTTAAACAGCTGAGTATCTTTTTTTAAAATTTGTAAGAGATGGCAGTGTAATGGCCCCTGATTAAGAAAAAAAAAGCAGCTTTTTTTACTTTTGTTGTGTGTTACTCCAAAACTATAACTGCTTTGTTACTATTCAGATTATTTGTGACACAACAGTGGAACACATTTCTAGTGTTGTTATCATGACAGTACACAGAAGATGTCATACATCTTCAACTGTCCAATATAAGATATATTGGATTCAGCAGTGTCCAACATTATTGGATACTACACTTTCAAATACAGGAAATATATTGAAACACCTCTGGTACAGATACAGATCAAAAGCAGGGGAATTGATGTAAACAATTGGTGTAGAGATACATGTATTAGTTTATTATTCAAATATGCTATCATTTATAACTTTTTTTCCCAATGCAGATAGTGTTTGGATTCATTTGTACAGTACATATAGTATAACTAATTATTATTCAATTTCAGGGAGTGTATTTGATTTGTCAGTTTTGAAATCCACTTCTAAAGGTTCAATGTACAGTGTTAAAGATAAGAATAACAATCTGTATGAGTTTAACATATGTGACACTGTCTACAACAGCAAATGCACGGATGCTGAAAAGAATGCAATAGGTAAGTCTTGATTTTTTTAATAGCATTTTTTTCTTCTTCTATTGCAAGTGGAGATCATGAAAGACAAATGTCATCAGTACAGACTTAGGTCGACCTGCATATCAAAGGTTTGCTGCAGAACTGCAGTAATTTAAATGGAATAATGAAGGACAACAGTTTTGTGGTCAACCCTCAATTAATGTTCAGTCTGACAGGACTTATCCCCCATGTGGCTGAGTGGTTGCCTTTAAGGGTTAAAGCATCATAGTTGCAGCTACAGTATATCCCTCTGTGATCGTAAAACGGGAATAAATGGGTTTGAATTGCTGGAGTCTATGTATCTCTTAGCTCCGGCAGTTGATTTGGCTTTAACCCCATGTTTTACTTTATGTTTTTAACATCTGAGCACCTTAGGGTTTCCTCCACCAGTAAACCTGGAAAATGACCGTACAACCATTATGTGCTGGTGTGACTTAAAATCGACCAAAACAAAAATAGGTTGAAAGTAGTATGGTAGAAGTTCATTGTACAAACTAATGTGTTTTGTGTTAAGTAGGAGATCTACTTTGATGAGCTTATGTGATCGCTGTTTATCAGTTTTGTGTTGTCAACTTTTCATTTAGATATATGATAAAAGCCAAATAACATTGTGTATTGAGTGCTATCATTGTAGATTGTGTCACTGTCTTTGATTGGATAAAGTTATATTTACACTTGCCCTTTTGACCTATGAGAATACAACTTTATCTATTTCAGTAGTACAAATTGTCTGAATAGCCAAATCATATTATATTCTCTTAATTTCAAACCGACAGTTCATGTAAGAGCTAGTAAAGATTACACAGAGTTTATGACATTTTTCAAAATTTAATAGTTAAGATAGGTGCATTACCTGAACCCTTAACCTGTGATATAATCATAATAACCAGAGTGGTACCAGACAAGGCCACTAGTTACCTGGTATTTTGTCACGCACCAAGATGGTACCCAAACAAACAGTATTTCTTCTGAATTTTGAAAAAGTTTAAATAAAGCATTATTAGCAGGCAACAATTTTTCCAGCATGCAAAATATGAATAGATTTTGTTTATACTGATACAGGTGTATGCCAGTCACCACCAGAGGGCTCTGATCGTCCTACTTACAATGCCGGAAAGGCTGTCCATAATCCATGGTTTGATGATGGTATCGTTGTTCTCAACTTCACTGGGGGCGACCGTTGTCATAACAACCAGTATGAAAGAAACACGATAATTTCGTTTGTCTGTAACAGACATAAAGGCATTGGTCGTCCAGTGTTTGTAGATGAGACTGAAGACTGTACTTACTATATATCCTGGCATACAAATATTGTCTGTGAACAAGAGGTAAGATAGAAGTACTTAAGCAAATTGTTTTGAAATAAAATTTTGTAATATTATTGTTTTTTTTTGTTGTTTTCTTTAAAGATCCAGTATGTTATGTAAATAATTATACAAAAATTATCAGAGAGGTTTGATTTGATGGTAAATGTGATAATTTTACGGAAAAAAAACAACAGTGTGTGAGCATGTCACATGACCTCTTTTAATTTACATATGAGGATGTAACATATACTTAGTGATACTGTTGGGTTTTTCCGATGTATGCCTCTAATTACATTCTAACTGTCAGATTTGTTTTATCATATAAAAAGTAATTGATAGTTTTTTGAAAAAAATATTGAAACTTTTTTTTATCGCGTATTTCAGCTAAAATGCTCCGTAGATACAAATGATTACAGGACCATAGATTTATCTCCCCTTGCTGATAATCCCGATCAAGTGGTACACTCGACAGAGGATGGATCTATTTTCTATCTTAGTGTGTGCTCGTCACTTACCCCTACTACTGGTCTCCTATGTCCGGCAGGTTCGGGCTTGTGCCAAGTAAAATCCACAGATAAAGTCAGTCATACTGTAAGTTAAATTCTAAGAATTAGAAAATCAGAATGAAAATTTTTATTACAGTCATATTGTGTTTAGATTTTGGCTTGTCTGTGTTGAAGACAAAAATTGGTAATTGAAAGTCGTTGCCCTTAATAGATGAGCATTACTACAGCATGTGGAGCTATTGTAAGATATTTAGATGATTTTTTTCCACCTAAATATATAACAATTGAACACATAGGTGAGGTACGTGTGTTCTAGGCTTAATAAGGGTCCATCTGCCCTTTCAGGTATTGAGAGTACAGACTCTTTAGGAAAGGTGCTCATAAGGCAAGGAAAACATGTAATTTTACCTGGTATTAGTGACAAAAAAAGAATAAACCTGTATTGGGCTCTCTGAGATTGGTAGAAATTTTGTTTGAATCTTGATGAAAGTTAAGCCATCTTAATTGAAAGAATTATTATTTTTAGCTCACCTGTCACTTTTGTGACAGGGTGAGCTTTTGTGATCGCTTTTCATCCGGCGTCCGGCCGGCGTCTGTCCGTAAACTTTTACTTTAAATGACATCTCCTCATAAACCACTAAGCCAATTTCATCCAAACTTCACAGGAATGTTCCTTTGGTGGTCACCTTTAAAAATTGTTCAAAGAATTTAATTCCATGCAGAACTCTGGTTGCCATGGCAACCGAAAGAAAAAACTTTAAATATCTTCTTTTAAAAAAACCCAAAGAGCTAGAGCTTAGATATTTGGCATGAAACATCTTCTAGTGAGTGTCTACCAAGTTTGTTCAAATAAAAGCCCTGGGGTCAAAATTGGCCCCGCCCCAGGGGGTCAATGATTTTCCCTATATGCATATAGTAAAAACTTAAAAAATCTTCTTTTAAAGAACCCAAAGAGCTAGAGCTAAGACGTTTAGCATAAAACATCTTCTAATGAGTGTCTACCAAGTTTGTTCAAATAAAAGCCCTGGGGTCAAAATTGGCCCCGCCCCAGGGGGTCATTGATTTTCCCTATATTCATATAGTAAAAACTTAAAAAATCTTCTTTTAAAGAACTCAAAGAGCTAGAGCTAAGATATTTAGCATGAAACATGTTCTAATGGGTGTCTACCAAGTTTGTTCAAATAAAAGCCCTGGGGTCAAAATTGGCCCCGCCCCAGGGGTCATTAATTTTCCTTTATGTGTTTATCAAAAACTTAAAAAATCTTCTTTGAAAAAACCCAAATAGCTAGGGTTTAGTTATTAAGCATGAAACATCTTCTAGTGTGTGTCTACAAAGTTTGTTCAAATAAAAGCCCTGGGGTCAAAATTGGGCCCGCCCGGGGGTCATTGATTTTCCTTATATGTGTATAGCAAAAACTTAAAATCTTCTTTGAAAAAACCCAAATAGCTAGTGTTTAGATATTAAGCATGAAACATCTTCTAGTAAGTGTCTACAAATTTTGTTCAAATAAAAGCCCTGGGGTCAAAATTGGCGCCGCCCCAGGGGTGTCATTGTTTTTAACTATATGTGTATAGTAAAAACTTAAAAAATCTTCTTTTAAAAAACCCAATGAGCTAGAGCTTAGATGTTTAGCATGAAACATCTTCTTATGGGTGTCTACCAAGTTTGTTCAAATGAAAACCCTTGGGTTAAAATTGGCCCTGCCGGTGGGGGGGGGGAAGAAGGAGGTCATTGTTTTTCATTATATGTGTGTAGTAAAAATTTATGAAACTCATGAAACATCTTCTAATGGGTGTTCCAAGTTTGTTCAAATAAAAGCCCAGGGGTTTAAACTGGCTCGCTTCGGGGGCCTATATACAGGTGAGCGACCTCAGGGCCATCATGACCCTCTTGTTTTAAAAAATTTCAGCACCATGGATTATGCATGCATGAAATATTTGCATATTGCACTGAAAATAGCAGATGAATATTTTGTTAGATTTCATTCTGTCTGCAAATTAAAAAAAAATAATTTGTGAGAACTGTGTCCAGTACTGGAGACACATTTTTTCAAAGCCTCATTTGAGATGGAAGGATAATACGTGTGATATAGATTGTTTCTGCTAAATAAATGATGGTAAACAGAATGAAATTTTTCTGAACAAAAACAACAACATAATGCTGGCCTGCTATTTAAATTAAGTTTTTAACCATTTGGCAATGATTTTGTATATGCACCATTTACTCTGAAGGAAAATACTGACATATTTCTTTCATACAGGTATTTTGGAGTTATTGCTGTTGCAGAATTCAAACAAACATTTTGTAAACTGCACGCCTCACAGATACAGTTTTTTACACTTTAACTAATGCATACAGCTGTGGGTTCAAATCTCCACAGGGACTTTGGATTCTTTCATGTGAGGAAGCTATCCAGATAGCTTATGGAACATCAGTGTTTCTACTCGGATGCCGTTCGTCCCTGAAATAATGCACCGATGGGCACCTCAGGTCTTCCTCCACCAGTAAAGCTAGATCGTTCCCCATATGACCTATCCTGTGTTGGTGTGATGTAAAACCCAATGAAACATACAACTTAATGCATGATAGGAAGAAATTTGTTATATATTTCAGAGTTTAGGTAAACCAAAGTCTTCACCAACATATGATAAAACAACCAAAGATATCAGCTTGATGTACGTGAATGGGTCCAAATGTGATACAGATCCCTCAAAGAATTTCTCATCAAGAGTTATCTTCTCCTGTCTTCCTGGACCAGTGAGGGTTAGTTACTTACTGTATATAATTTTTTAAACATTTGCAGGAAAGTTGAATTTATAATGTCACCAATAATCTTGTGAATTTCTGAAATAATATTGTCCAGCTTCCATTTGAAAAAGACAACTATCAATTTGGTCTTGGGGAGGGGCTGGTATTGTAACTTGTATCAGGATGAAAATTTGCAATGGGTCAGACTTCATGTTTGTGTAGGCTGGCCAAGCTCTATATCTATGGCATTTAAATTATTTTTTTCTATTTCAGCGGTTGAAGGGTTACAGAAATTTTGAAATATTTATTTTTTAGCTTGACTTCTTGGTTGAATCAATTATTAATGATATAAATATGAAATATTTTAATATATTAACTGCTATGACATTGGTTTCAAATACCACATTTTTATGATAACTTTCATGCACAAAATATTGTTTATTTATATTATGTTGCTATTTACTTTTAGTGTTTTATTTGTTCTGCATTTTATTTTGAAGATAGAAATGGGAGTTTGATTATTTTTTTTTATGTAATATTGCCATTTGTACTTCACAGAAAGTTTATGATACTGCTTACTTTGCTAACTAGTTTTTATATAATGCCCTAAAGGACATGGAGGAACAGCCTTTGAGTTTCTTTAACGTCAGTTACAGAATCTTTCAATTTTATTTAGAAGATAAAAAATACAACTGTCTTTTACTGAATATTTATTATTTTTCCTATAAATTTGAGCCGCGTCACTACAAAAACAACGTAATGTGTTTGCGACCAGCATGGATCCAGACCAGCCTGCGCATCCGCGCAGTCTGATCAGGATCCATGCTGTTCGCTAGCAGTTTCTTTACTTGTTATAGGGTCTGTAAGCGAACAGCATGGATCCTGATCAGACTGCGCGGATGCGCAGGCTGGTCTGAATCCATGCTGGTCGCAAACCCATTATGTTGGTTTTGTCATGTCACAGCTCAATTTTTTGTTTTTCTTGCAGAGTAGCCCAAGGTTTGTATCGAAGGCAGACTGTGAGTATGTTTTCCAATGGGATACATACACAGTTTGTACAGAAAGAAAACAAACAGAAGCTGTGTGTGGTTACCATGACAAGACTGGAGATTTCTATGACTTTAAACTTCTTCAGCAAGATAAACCAGTTGAGGTATACACAGCTTAAAGTTTTAATTATTCATAGTCACATCACAATAAAGTTGTAAGGGATAAAGTAGTAAGTTGTAAGTTGTACTAGAATCAGCTTGTCTGTCTGTCCAGGCACATTCAGGTTTCATTATGGAATAAATGTCTGTGTTACTTTTTAAACAGACTGTCCTTGTTGGGATAAAAGTTGCTTATGGGATGCAAAGAGGTTGTTTATGGTTTATAAGAGGTCAAAGAAGGTCAAAGAAATAAAGCCATTACATGAACTCAGTTAGGGTGTCAAGCTCTCCCCTGAACATTGTGTTTTGTTTTTTCTGGGGCATAATTAAAAACTATTGGAGGTATCAACTCTAAAATTGATAGATGGAAACATGATATTATGATGGAAGAGAAATGCAGTTTTTAAGAAACGTAACTTTTTTTGCATAATTGTGGAGTCAAAGACCTTTAGAGGTATCAAAATATTCAGAATGTAACTGAAATGTTACCTTGCCCAATACCCGTTTCAATCATTTCCTCACCTGTGAGACAAAATTCACCTATTTTTTGCTGGGATTTAAAATCATTAATAATTTGTAGCATGCATTTATCCAGGGAAGCATTTTTGAACTCTTCATAAATACTTCACCTCAGCAAAAAGAGGTCATGTACAGTATCTTTATACTTTTTCTGTTGTTTTTTTCCTGAAACACAACTAAAATGTCGCTTATATAGAAATAAATTATGATTGCAGGTAAAAGTAAAAGGAGAGACAAAGTATCTGATAAACATGTGTGCTGGTATAAAAAGTGATGACACTTCAAGCTGTGATTCTCACATGGTGTGCCGTAAAAACGATGGTCTCTCATTTGGGGAACCAAATAATTACAAGGTGGCTAAAGAGGGACAATACTTGAAGATGACGTTTGATAGTGGAGCAAAATGTGCAGGTAGGATACAAAATCATTTCATATGATCCAGCAATGACAGGAGAAATGAGGGGTTAATATTATAATTTTTGATATTAAAACATTTTAGTCATATATCGGTTGTTGTTTCTCTTGACCGACTTTCTTGTATAATTTACAAGTAATAATGATTTTTTTAGCAAGGAATCCAACTTCTTATCCCATATGATTTCTGAATCAGCAGTGACAGATAAATATTGTTATCATTACATTATTACACAGAATGGTTTATTAGAAGGACATATTCTATGAGTTATAGCCAATGCAATATCATATTTACTAATGAATTATTCAGGAGAAAGAAATGCTGAGAGCTCTATACAGTTTGTATGTAACAGAGAAGCTGGTCAAGGTACTCCTATAGTTCTTGCCTCCATGAACTGTAGTGTAGTGTTTCAGTGGGAAACAAGTTATGTGTGCCCTACCCAGCAAAACCCATGCAGTATTGTCATAGATGAACACCTTTATGACCTTTCTATACTCTCAAAGATTCAAGGAGCATGGAATGTCACAGATAAAGATAAGAATACGTAAGTGGATGTCACAGATAAAGATAAGAATTCATAAGTGAATGTCACAGATAAAGATAGGAATATGTAAGTGGATGTCAGAGATAAAGATTAGAATATGTAAGTGAATGTCACAGATAAAGATAAGAATACGTAAGTGAATGTTACAGATAAAAGTAAGAATATGTAAGTGAATGTTACAGATAAAGATAAGAATACGTAAGTGGATGTCACAGATAAAGATAAGAATATGTAAGTGAATGTTACAGATAAAGATAAGAATATGTAAGTGAATGTTACAGATAAAGATAAGAATATGTAAGTGAATGTTACAGATAAAAGTAAGAATATGTAAGTGAATGTTACAGATAAAGATAAGAATATGTAAGTGGATGTCAAAAATAAAGATAAGAATGTTTTAGTGAATGTCACAGATAAAGATAAGAATACATAAGGGAATCCGAATGTCACAGATAAAGATAAGAATGTATAATTTTAATGTAACAGATAAAGATAAGAATACATCAGTGAATGTTACAGATAAAGATGTGATTTTGTAAGTGAAGGTCTCAGATTATGATGAGAATAGGTAAGCAAATGTCACAAATAAAGTTAAGAATATATTAGTGATTGTAGGATGAGAATACATTTATGAATGTCACAGATTGATAAGAATATGTAAGTGAGTGTTACAGGTAAAAATAAAACTAATTTGAGAAGGAATTGGCCTCAGTTTTTGAAATTTGGTAGAGAAATTGCCCATGGCAAGTTTGTGACCCCTATTGATATATAGGTCATTAAATCAAAGGTCACAGTGACAAAATCCTTGGCAGATCAATATCTTATTCTAGTTGTTTTCTTCCATTTTTCTTTTGTATCTGGTCACACTTTAACATTGTACATCTTACAGCTCATACTTTGGGTGCATAATGCTCCAACACTGACAGCTCCTGTTTTTATTTATAGAAATTAGATTTTTATATCTATTTATAGATACTGGATTAATGTATGTACATCTGTAATTGGTCCCAAATTGCCAGATGTCTGTGATTAGAAAGCATGAGAAAACAGCTCCTGTTTCTATTTATAGAAGTTAGATTTTTATATCTATTTATAGATACTGGATAAATGTATGTACATCTGTAATTGGTCCCAAATTGCCAGATGTCTGTGATTAGAAAGCATGAGAAAACAGCTCCTGTTTCTATTTATAGAAATAAGATTTTTTTTCTATTTATAGATACTGGATTAATGTTAGAAATTAGATTTTTATATCTATTTATAGATACTGGATTAATGTATGTACATCTGTAATTGGTCCCAAATTACCAGATGTCTGTGATTAGAAAGCATGAGAAAACAGCTCCTGTTTCTATTTATAAGATTTTTTTTCTATTTATAGATACTGGATTAATGTTAGAAATAAGATTTTTTTTCTATTTATAGATACTGGATTAATGTATGTACATCTGTAATTGGTCCCAAATTGCCAGATGTGTGTGATGAGAAAGCAGCTGCATGCCGGATGTCCAAAGATAAGACAGGAGGAGAGGTGCTTGGGCTTGTTAGTGCTCAGAAAAAAATATACAAGAATAGTAAGATTTTTTTTCTTTTGTCTTTTCAAACTTTTAGACCTGACATGTTGTTTAGTAACTGCTAAATTGGAACGTTTGGTCAAAATTTTAGACCTGACATGTTTGTTGTTCATTGTAAATTTTTTTGTTCAGCCAAGTTAACACAGTTGACTTTGTGAAATGGATAATGTTAGCTTTTGAACTTGAATAAGTCTGTTAAGATATTCATGGATTTTTAGCTCACCTGAGCATGCTCAGGGTGAGCTTTTAGGATCGATGATTGTCCGTCGTCCGTCCGTCCGTCGTCCGTCCGTTCACATTTAGTTGTTAACACTCTAGCGGTCGCATTTTTGCCTCAATCATCATCAAACTTGGTCAGGATGCTTATCTAGTTGATAGCTCGGATGAGTTCGAACATGGGTCATCTCGGATGAGAAACTAGCTCACAAGAGCTAAAAATAGAAAAACCTTGTTAACACTCTAGAGGTCACATTTTTATGCCCCCACAATGTGGGAGCATATAGCGTTGCACTTGTCCGTCCGTCAGTCCGTCCATCAGTCCGTCCGAGCAAACATTTGATATTTATGAGCTTCATTCCGTAGTTAAATAAAGAACAAAAGCTCATAAAATTCAAATTAAGAGCTATTTTTTTGATTTTATGAGCTGATTTTGCTAATGGACTTTGGTCCAGGTGTAGTTTATGAGCTGACTTACCTCTTAAATATCAAAAGTTGGTACGTCCGTCCGTACGTCCCGAAATCTTGTGAACGCAACTCCTCTTAAACCAGATGGCAGATTTTGCTTAAACTTACAGGGATGAACAACCTTAATGTGTAGATGGTAGTAAAGGAAGGAATTTTTGCTGCGACTAAATTTAACAGAATTATGGCCCTTTGTTGATTTTTTTACTAGATACTATGTAAAAATTTTGTGAACGCAACTCCTCTTAAACCGGATGGCAGATTTTGCTTAAACTTAGAGGGATGAACAACCTTAATGTGTAGATGGTAGTAAAGGAAGGAATTTTTGCTGCGACCAAATTTAACAGAATTATGGCCCTTTGTTGATTTTTCACTATATACTATGTAGAAAATTTTTGTGAACGCAACTCCTCTTTAAACCGGATGGCAGATTTTGCTTAAACTTACAGAGATGAACAACCTTAACGTGTAGATGGTAGTAAAGGAAGGAATTTTTTGCTGCAACCAAATTTAACAGAATTTATGGCCCTTTGTTGATTTTTTCACTATATACTATGTAGAATTTTGTGAACGCAACTCCTCTTAAAACCGGATGGCAGATTTTGCTTAAACTTACAGGAATGAACAACCCTCAGGTGTAGATGGCAGTAAAGAAAGGAATTTTTGCTGCAACCAAATTTAACAGAATTATGGCCCTTTTTTGATTTTTTCATTATATACTATGTAGAAATTTTGTGAACGCAACTCCTCTTAAACCGGATGGCAGATTTTGCTTAAACTTCCAGGGATTAACAACCTTAATGTGTAGATGGTAGTTAAGGAAGGAATTTTTGCTGCGACCAAATTTAACAGAATTATGGCCCTTTGTCGATTTTTAGTTTTCAACTTGTGGCACATGTAGTCCAAAAAATATTTGACCTAGAGTCATAAGATTGACAGAACAGTGGCGTGTGGGGGCATCCGTGTCCTATGGACACATTTCTAGTTGCCTCAATCATCATCAAACTTGGTCAGGATGTTTGTCTAGGTGATAGCTCGGATGAGTTCGAACATGGGTCATCTCGGATGAAAAAGTAGGTCACCAGAGCTAAAAATAGAAAAACCTTGTTAACACTCTAGTGGTCACATTTTTGCATCAATCATCATCAAACTTGGTCAGGATGCTTATCTAGTTGATAGCTTGGATGAGTTCGAACATGGGACATCTCGGATGAAAAAGTAGGTCACCGGAGCTAAAAATAGAAAAACCTTGTTAACACTCTAGCGGTCACATTTTTGCATCAATCATCATCAAATTTGGTCAAGATGCTTGTCTAGGTGATAGCTCGGATGAGTTTGAACATGGGTCATCTCGGATGAAAAAGTAGGTCACCAGAGCTAAAAATAGAAAAACCTTGTTAACACTCTAGCGGTCACATTTTTGCATCAATCATCATCAAACTTGGTCAGGATGCTTATCTAGTTGATAGCTCAGATAAGTTCGAACATGGGTCATCTCGAATGAAAAAGTAGGTCACCGGAGCTAAAATAGAAAAAACCTTTGTTAACACTCTAGCGGTCACAATTTTTGCATCAATCATCATCAAACTTGGTCAAGATGTTTGTCTAGGTGATAGCTCAGATGAGTTTGAATATGGGTCATCTCGGATGAAAAAGTAGGTCACCGAAGCTAAAAATAGAAAAACCTTGTTAACACTCTAGCGGTCACATTTTTGCCTCAATCATCATCAAACTTGGTCAGGATGTTTGTCTAGGTGATAGCTCGGATGAGTTGGAACATGGGTCATCTCGGATGAAAAAGTATGGTCACCAGAGCTAAAATAGAAAAACCTTTGTTAACACTCTAGCGGTCACATTTTTGCATCAATATCATTAAACTTGATTCAAGATGCTTTGTCTAGGTGATAGCCTGGATGAGTTCGAACACATGGTGTCATCTCGGATGAAAAAACTAGGTCACAGGAGTTAAAAATAGAAAAACCTTGTTAACACTCTAGTGGTCACAATTTTGACTCAATTGTCATCAAACTTGGTCAGGAAACTTGTCTAGGTCATTGCTGGGAATAAATCGAACATGGGACATCTCGGATGAAAAAACTAGGTCAACAGGAGTAAAAATAGAAAAATCTTGTTAACACTCTAGTGGCTACTGTTGTGATCCAAATATTCTGTTTCATTGGTCTCTGAAAGTTTGTTTTGATGATTTTCTAAGGTCAAGATCGAACATGGGTCATCTTGGATTGAAAACTAGGTCACACCGCCCAAATATGGAAAAACCTTGTTAACATTCTAGTGGTCACATTTTCGACTCAATTATCATCAAACTTGGTCAGGATGCTTGTCTAGGTAATTGCTTGGATTGAGTTCGAAATCGCATGTGAAACTAGGTCACCGGGGCTAAAAAATAGAAAAATCTTGTTAACACTCTAGTTGCTACTGTTTTGATCCAGGTATTCCTGGAAATTGGTCTGAATGTTTGTTTTGATGATTTCTAGGTCAAGTTTGAATATGTGTCACCTGGGTAAAAAACTAGGTCGCCCACTGCTCAATTATGGATAATCCTTGTTAACACTGTAGTGGTCACATTTTTTTTGACTCACCTGTCATGAGACTTGGTTCAGAATGCTTGTCTAGCTAATTGTTTGGATGAGTTTGATAAGTCAGGTGAGCGATCTAGGGCCATCATGGCCCTCTTGTTATATTTATTATCCAAAAACTTAAATCGGAAAAAATATAGAGAATAGAATTTTTTGAGATTGCATGAACTTACTGGCTGGCCTGATTTTACACTGCTAGTATTTAAGGTGTTTATATATTATTAATATCAACATAATTTATGGTGTAACAATTTGTGCTATACAAATCTTGGTAAATTGAAAAATCGATCTGAGGTCTAATTGTCTTTTTGTTTCTTTTCGTTTTTTTTTTTTTTTTTGGTTGTAAATAAGTGTAATATTTACTGAGGCATTTATTTGAATGTTTTATGCTATTTTTTACAAAATGTAGAGTTATTTGCTTCATTGTTAATATATTTATAACATATTTATTCTAAATCTGATCAAATATAACTAATGAACTTTCAGCATTTGCACCAGTTGATGTTCCAATAGTAATCTTTATTGAATCCAGTCTTATTAATTTAGCCCTGTTTTTGTATTTTGGAGTCCAAAAAAGCTATATCAAATGCATAATTATCATACTCTATCTAGCCTTGTTTTTCAATATTTAAAAGTCCAAAAATCCATATCAAATCCATATTGTACTTGAAATCACAAAGTTCTGTCAAAATGTCTGAAAATGGTGATGTGAAAGGAAGAGATCATTATACATTATTGAGAACTATACTGATATTGTTGGATTTGTACATGGCTGTAAAATCTGTATCAGACTAGGCTAGCATCTTGACCAATATAGTTATTGCAGCTGTGTACATGTCCAGTAGAATTAAATTTTTTACTTAACTATGTATAATAACATCTTGTAAAGCTGCTTGTTTGTAACATTACTGTTCATTGGACAATCGTGACATTTATATAGTTTTATATGCACGACTGTTGTCAATTTACGAAGAAATCAGGTAAGGAGGTTTGCTGTATTATAAATTTGATGTGTTGTTCTTCATTCCCTCCTTGATTACTTAGTGTATTTTAAATTTGTAATAAAGATTCCCGACAGGTTATATTATTAGTTATAAAGATCGTGACAGGTTATATGGCCCTATATAAACGGCTATTTGTAAATAAAACCAGAGCTGCTAGGCGAGGGTTATATTGCAAACAGCCGTTTATATAGGGTCATATAACCTGTCAGCACTCTTTATAACAAATTTATAATACTGCAAACTTCTTTTTCTCTAGAGAAAAGTTAGATTTCTTCATGAATTCAGAGCAGCCGTGTATATAAAACTATGTAAACATTACAATTATCCAATGAAAAGCGACGTTACAAACATGCAGTATTATAAGGTTGTATATAAATGTGTTTTTTTTTTGGAAAATAGCCCTTGCCTAGTAGCTCAGGTAATATATACGGCCATAAAACCTGTTAAAAATTTTTATAACTAATAATTATATATATAATATCACCACTTGATATTATCATTGTAGGTGATACAGGAGCTCTTGTATTGGAATATGCTGAGGGAAGTGCATGTTCGGACAGAGGTGATCCGGCTACCACTAAAATTAATTATATATGTGGAACTACTTTTGGTGCCCCATCATTTGTTGAAAGGTTTGGCTGTTGTTGTTGTTTCTTAAATGTTTAAACAGCTTCTTAGAAATTGAGATATAGAAATTTCTTTCTCTTCTATTCAATTTGTTTATTTGTATATATGGCCTCTGGCCCAAACACAATTTATACAACACCACATTAATGATACATTGCATGTGGTTATGATCAGACTTTACAATATGACATTCAAAATACTAATTAATTATGCTTATACATGTAACACTATTCAGACATAGATCAGATCTACTAATGAATTCTTCTCTCTCTTTGAAAGAGTAATAAATGTACATTGATACATTCCGTATTATATTTTCATTTTCATTTGACATTAAATCATAAAATGTTTGTATATTTGGATATCTATGAAAATGTATGTATTAAAAAATAAAATTCGATTTTCTTTTATGAAAAGTCCCAGGCAAATGCCTTTTAAATATATGATAAAAGCTCTTGTAGTAAAGGGGATAAATTGAAAGCTGTACTCTTGTGTCGGGTGCATCTGTTATAGTCACGAAAAAAACGATGTGTATTACGCACCAAGGCCTTCTTACATGCAAACTATCTTAACATAATTCATCATTTTAAGAAAGAATGAAAATAATTTGAGGCCGTGTCATGAACAAAGGTAACATAGTGGCGTTTGCGAACCAGTAAATATGATAATCAGACCAGATGCCTGCGCATTACCGGGGCAGTTTGAATCAGATTCTTCATGGGCTGTTGGCTTTTAATCAAACTCCTAATTCACCCAGTACCTAAATTACTGATTAGCGAACCCAGCATGGATTCCTGCATTATCAAACTCTGCGTTGGGTGCGCACAGGTGGTATGGATCCTATGTGGTCGCAATACCCACTATGTTGGTTTTGTCGTGACACGGCTCATTATGAACTGACTGACTAGTGTACATTGCAGACCATGATCAGATGGCATAGATGTGCTTGACTGATGTTGGCCTGCACTGCTTGTATAAGTATATATTGTATTCAGCCAAGGGTTAATGGAAAAAGTGTAGTTTTTTTTATTAAAATATATGTCTTTTATTGATGTTATTCTTCATTTTTCTTTCTTTCAGTGATGCAAATAAGAAATTGTGCATATATGAGTTTAACTGGAAAACAAAGTTTGCATGTAAGGTTGAAAGGTAGGAGTTATTAAGTATTTTCATTTTGTAATGTTATGATATCATTTATTTCTGTAAATGCGTCTTATTGTAGAGACCTGTGGCGGCTTTACTTGAGATAGGACGGAAACTTTGATGGCCTTGATTTCAGCATGGCCCAGTCAACATTGAAGATATGAACCACTTTCATTAGCTAGAAGGAAAGTTTTCTGACTTGAAAGAATATAAAGCCCAATCGGAATTTTTCAACATAATTTTGAGCTCTATCAAATTTGGATTATGTCACATTTATGTGCGTGGCATGTGAACGAACCTTATAAATGTAATATTAAAATGTTTGTTTCCTTTTCCAGTGAAAGTCTTAAGGTGACACCACGGGTATTTCTCAGTGACCTAAGCTGGTTTTAATTGCTGTATTCGCTAGACTCCCTTATCTGGAAATGATAAATGCGTAATACTTAGGCCAGACTTTTAAAGAAGCATGTATTGTGAAACATATTATTTATAGCATTTTTATATTTGAGTCACATTTTGTGCCTATTGTTTTTTACTTTCACAGAATGTTGCTGATTATCTGTAATTAATATTATCTATCCATTCATATATTTTATAGATTCAGGTATTTTATATATGCTGTATGAAATAGTTATTTAGTATCGAGTGAAATTGTACAAAAATTAAGTTGTTCTATATATTACCAGTATGTGATATGATAACTGTACATTATGTGATATGATAATTGTACATTATGTGATATGATAACTGTATACTATGTGATATGATATCTTTACATTATGTGATATGATAACTGTACATGATGAGATATGATAACTGTACATGTTGTGATATAACTGTACATTATGTGATATGATAACTGTACATGATGTGATATGATAACTTTACATGATGTGATATTATAACTGTACATTATGTGATATAATGACTGTACATTATGTGATATGATAACTGTACATTATGTGATATGATAACTGTACATGATGTGATATGATAACTGCAAATTTTGTGATATGACGACTTCCCATTATGTGATATTATAACTGTTCATTGTGATATAATACTTCATTCATTTTATGTTTATCGTTTTGCATATTTTTTTATTTTGTAGGTTTTGGTGGGTAGGATCTAGAAGTTGGAACAGTGGGGAATGAAAACAAATACAACTCTATTGATGATGGGGCAGCTCAACACAGTGGTAGAAATGGTGTCATATTGTCCAGATTTCAAAATAGCAGCATTTATAGAGACACTGGGGAAACATTTGCAAGTGCAAAAATTTACTCAGATGGCTATATGAAACTTTTTATGTTTGATTAAAAACATGTTTATTTAAATTCAATCCCTTTTTAAAATAAAAAAGGAATTGTTTGAAAAATAGAAAAGTTTGTTTATTAGAAAGCAAAAAGACAAGGTTACCTCAAAGCTTAGTACTCTTTTTATAAGAAATTGAGTTACAATAGGCGCTTAAGGTAATAAATCTTATTATATTTTATTGCGGTAACCTTTACCCTTAGTTACAAGTGGCAATTGAATCTTTCCATGCGACTAGTGCAGACAAGGGTCAGCTGTCACATCTGTGCCATTAAATCATGGTCTGTGCCATTAAATCATGGTCTGTGCCATTAAATCATGGTCTGTGCCATTAAATCATGGTCTGTGCCATTTATAATTTTAGGAAAAATTTCAAAATAAGTACTGAATAATGATCAGTTTATGACATGCCAGCTGATCATGGTCTGAACTGGTTGTATGGGTAGAAGCAGTTGTCACTTGTGGGCCAAATGATCTGAATTACATGAAATTATCTGAATAAGATGTACATGTATTTAGCATATTTTTTAACATATTCTTACATTTTATCAGTTTTCTAATTAGAATTTAGTAACAATCTATACAAGATCTGGATGGATATGTCTGAAATTAAATTATTCCATGTATTTTACAGACTGGGTAATTGAGGCCACATACACCACCCCAGAAAAATGTTCAGGTGATGAATCAAGTCATAATGTAACCAGTACAATACAGTTTATTTGTAGTCAATCAGCGGTTAGTGAATCTGTTAAACTAATCTAAATGGCGCCTTATCTAAAAAGTAATCATTTAATACTGTAATAAATGGTTTAAATTAGTGATGCGGAAATATTGGCGAATTTCACAAATTGACGAAAATGGCCTAAAAACTTCTTCTGACATAAATATCAACCAACCTGTCATTGAATTAGCTAGAAATATTCACTTGTACAGTAAATCATTGATGGGCAGTGTTTTTTGACATGTTTGTGTTTTTCCTTAAATTTTTTAATCTCTGTTGTTCTAGATTTGTATTAATTGACTTACCCTGCCTTGAATTTTGAGTGATTCATTAAGAATTTGAAAGGTTAAATCTTTGAGAACATGCGGCGAGAGTTTACTGAATTTCTATAGATTAAATAATAAACAATATGTTTTAAAGGAAATAGACCTACATGTATATTACTAGGTTCTATTATGAAATAATTTTTGTGTGTTATTATTGATTTCATATAGATGGATCCCAAGTTGTTATACAGTAAAAAAGATTGTTTCTTCATGTTTTCCTGGGAGACAAAACATGCATGTCTTTCTGCTAAAGTGTAAGTACTGACAAAAATATTCTATATCATCAGAGTTAATTTAACCCTAAACCAGCCATATTTTGTGTAATTGAATTACCCTGATTTCATTTTGGAATAGTTCATTTGAAATTATAGGGATTTCAGTATAAAGATACAAAAATTGAGCTACCAACAGTATAAAGCCCTGTCCGACTACTCAGATGCACCGACTTTCCTGTCTTTATACTGGTTGCAAAGGTTAATCGCATTCTGACAGTGAAAGATTTGTGTTGTGATATGGTTAAACAAACCTGTGCAGGGCAACACGCTTCGGAGACCTAAGATTTTATTTTGTTGCCGAGAGTATTTTTTGCATTTTAGAGAGTTAACTTTATTGAGAGGTTAACTTATATTGAGAGGAATTTTAACTTTTATTGAGAGGTTAACTTTATTGAGACGTTAACTTTATTGAGAGGTTAACTTTATTGAGACGTTAACTTTATTGAGAGGTTAACTTTATTGAGAGGTTAACTTTATTGAGACGTTAACTTTATTGAGACGTTAACTTTATTGAGAGGTTAACTTTATTGAGAGGTTAACTTTATTGAGACGTTAACTTTATTGAGAGGTTACACTTTGGGAAAGATACTCGATGTTTACTTGTTTTTAGTTAGAGGTTCTTATTGCTCTACAGGAGGTCACTCTTTCTGAGGTTGCCCTATGTATCTATAGATATAACCTAAAGAGACTCTACTAAGTTTTTCAATTAAATTTTGAGTAAATTTCTGTGTTATCCTTTGCAGATTTTTCCATTTTAAGTTCTTTACTTGATATTTGTAAGATTTTCAAATTTTATTGTTTTTAGGCCTTTGGACCTCAGTGGAGTTCCTTTAAACCTACGAGCGTTTTGTTGTTATTGTTTAATGTCACCTGAGCATTCTCAAAAGTGGTCAAAATTGTTCTTGTTTATTGAATAAGCTCACTACTGGAGCTAAAAATAAAAATAAGCTTAGAAGACATTTCCTCCATATCAAACCAGCAGATTTTGATGAAACTCAAAAGATTGATTTTGAGAGTGACCATACAAAAACAAAATTCTTTTAGTTAGATAAAAACAAGGATTTTCTTACCTGTTATGTTTGTACTTTAAATGATCTTGACAATGATAAATCTTGATGATATCAGTTTGAATTTTAAAGTACAATTGATACTGCCCTATTTTGTTTCAGAGACCAATTATTAAAAACAAGTTTATGGCTGTTTATTGCACTAAGAATATACTATTCCAAAAGTGTTATACTTTTTATTTAGTTTGGGGTTAAACATATTTATTTAAGTTTGTTGCAAACAAGTTTTGCAATGTAAAGTTAATGCTATACTTTCCAAGTCTGCTCTTTGAGACCATAGACCAGTACTGGGTGTCATATAATATAGAAACATACTTTTTATTTGAACATCAGCAGAAGTGTGTAATATTTAATCTGGTTCTAATCATTCATTCCATAGTATGTTTTTGAAAGGTTAACGATGTTTGGTTATATTTAGACAAAATTTTTGAAATGCCATTTAAACATTGGGAGTGCGGTTTTTTTACCATGTATCATGTGATTTTTTTTGTTTTCTAACTTTTCAGCCTGGGTACCAATGAGCAAGTGGATCAGCAATCGGGAACCAAGGCAGGTAAGCAGTTTCTTCAGATAAAAGGGAGGTTGTTCTGCATTTGAGCGGTAGGTTGGTAAATTAGTAGCTTCAATTCCTAGGAGCTAATTAGTGCTTTGGTATCTTAAACTGGTGGTTCTTAACTAGACAGGAGAGAAGGTAAGAATAGCACATGTACTGTAAAGTAAAAAAAAAATCGAGAGTGGTTTAATGTCACTTATTTCCAGAATTGAAAATTTTTCCAAAAAAAAATGTTTGCTAAGTAATTTTACATAATTGAAACAGGAATTTGGGAATATTTTACCTTTCATTAGAAATTAAGTAATGAATTTCATTTAAGCAGGAATAGAATATCGTCTTAGAAAAGTCACTTTTTTCATGCTTAAACTTGTATATTTGCAGGGAGAGACATGTTTTCCAAAGAGTTTCGAGGAATTTATTCCCACGTGGATGATTCAGAATACTCCAGGTAATCTGCTGCTTGTATAACTTTACCATATGATCCTTTATAGTATGGTAGTGGTCTATGCTTTTCCCTACTATTTATCTTAGACCCGTCCTGATTTAGTGGGCAGCACCAGTCAAATAAAAGCAAGATTCTGATTTGGAAGGCTTCAAATGCTTGTGTGGATCATCTATACTTGACAAATGATAGGTGATGTCAATCATTTTTAACCTTTGGTTTAGTAACTTAATTTGATATCAACTGTTAATTATAAGTGAACAGTAATGAATTAACGTTTTGTAGCAAGATACATTTCTTAAAAAAAATTGTCAATTCCTTTTATTTTCTCAATCTGGGCAATACTTTCCTACATTACTTCTGGATATAATTTCTTGGGGCTCCTGGTCTGGGTTAATTTGATCTAAGCTATTTGTAATGTCTGTTTTTATCAGGGTATTCAATTTGTTAAAATAATAATATGAAGAACATGCTATTTAACAGTAGACTATATATGCTCTTGGACAGGATACGATACCAAGAGGGTATGTACAGTAACTTATAAATGTTGTACCCTCAGTTCTCCTCTCTGAACTTGTATACATAGTTTGGGGACCTTTTGTGAAAAAGTTGTCAAGAGTTAATAGTATACATATAAATGTCACAGTGCGAGTATTGGTAGTGGCAGGTTCGGTTACCCGACTCCAGATAAA